ATGAAGCTCGTCGGCGGCCGGCTGCGCGGCGGCGTGGCGATCCAGACCATCTTCGTCGCGGTGATCCTTGCGGCGATGAGCGGCATCATCGGCGGCGAGGTGGTGCTGCTGGGGCTTGTCGCGCTGCCGCAGATGCTGCGGCTTGGCTATGACAAGCATCTGGCGATCGGCGTCGTCTGCGCCGGCGGCGCCCTCGGCACCATGGTGCCCCCTTCGATTGTCCTGATCATCTATGGTCTGACGGCGAACGTCTCGGTGGGCGATCTGTTCACGGCCGCCTTCATCCCGGGCCTGATGCTTGCCGGCTTCTACATCGCCTATATCCTGATCCGCGCCTATCTGAACCCCGAGATCGCGCCGATCCCCGAAGGCCCGGACGTGCCGATGAGCGAAAAACTGCGCCTGCTCAAGGGGCTGATCCTGCCGCTGCTGGTCGTCGCCGGCGTCCTGGGCTCGATCTATGGCGGCATCGCCAGCGTGACCGAGGCGTCGGCGGTTGGCGTGGCGGGCGTCCTGCTGTCCACCGTCATCCGCGGCGAGTTCACGCTAGAACTGCTCAAGGGCGCCGCCCTCCAGACCCTGCGCACCGTCGGCATGATCGTCTGGATCGGCATCGGTGCTTCGGCCCTGGTCGGTGTGTTCAACCTGATGGGCGGCATCAATTTCGTCTCCCAGCTGATCACCGGCATCTCCGAGAACCCGCTGATCATCCTGCTGTTCATGATGCTGATCCTGTTCGTCCTGGGCATGTTCCTCGACTGGGTCGGCATCGCGCTTCTGACCATGCCGATCTTCGTGCCGATCATCACGCAGCTCGGCTATGATCCGGTCTGGTTCGGCGTCCTGTTCTGCATGAACATGCAGGTCTCCTTCCTGTCGCCGCCGTTCGGACCGGCCGCCTTCTATCTCAAGAGCGTGGCGCCGCCGGACATCTCGCTGGCGACGATCTTCCGCTCGCTGCTGCCGTTCATCTGCCTGCAAGTGCTGGCGCTTGCCGTGCTGATCGCCTTCCCCGGCATCACCGGGCGGTAGCATGAAGATCACCGAAGTAAGGACGCTGCGGCTCGACGAATTTCCGAACCTGGTCTGGGTGCAGATCGGGACCGAAGAAGGTCTCAGCGGGCTGGGCGAGACCTTCTTCGGCGCCTCGGCGGTCGAGGCATACATCCATGACTGGTGCGCGCCGCGCCTGATCGGCAAGAACCCGCTGCACCTGCAGGCCCGCGTCAATGAGCTGTCCGACTATATCGGCTGGCGCGGCGCAGGCGTTGAAACGCGGGCCTATTCGGCGCTGGACATCGCGCTGTGGGATCTGTTCGCCAAGGCGCATGCCATGCCGCTCGCGGACGCGCTCGGCGGGCGGTCGCGGGACCGCATCCGCACCTACAACACCTGCGCGGGCTACAAATATGTGCGCGACCGGCGCGGTCAGACTGTCGACAACTGGCATACGGGCGATGCGGAAGGCCCCTACGAGGATCTGGACGCCTTTCTCACCGATGCGGGCGCGCTGGCCCGATCGCTTCTGGCGCAGGGCATCACGGCGATGAAGATCTGGCCGTTCGACATCGCCGCAGAGCGCTCGGGCGGGCTCGATATCACGCCCGACGAATTGCGCACCGCGCTCCGTCCGTTCGAGCAGATCCGCGAAGCGGTCGGCGATGCGATGAACGTCATGGTCGAGTTCCATTCGCTCTGGTCGCTGCCCATGGCGAAAAGGCTCGCGCGCGAACTCGCACCCTTCAACACCTATTGGCATGAAGACCCGTTTCGGCTGGACACGCCGGGCGATCTCAAGGACTACGCGCAGGCCTGCCAGACCTGGATTTGTGCCTCCGAGACGCTCAACGGAACGCCCGCGTTCCGCGCCTATCTTCAGACGGGCGTCGCAGGCGTCGTCATGCTCGACCTGTCATGGTGCGGCGGGGTGACTGAGGCGCGCAAGATCGCCGGCATGGCCGAGGCCTTCAAGGTGCCGGTGGCACCGCACGATTGCACCGGGCCGGTCGTCTACGGCGCATCCTGTCACCTCTCCATGCATCTGAAGAACGCGCTGATCCAGGAAAGCGTGCGCGCCTTCTACACTGGCTGGTACCGGGAGCTTGCCCAAGGGCTGCCAGACGTCACCGATGGCATGATCGAACTGAAAGATGCACCCGGCCACGGCATCACACTCGATGAAGGGCTGTGGCGCCGCGCCGACGCGACAGTGCGCATCAGCAGCCGGTCCGACATTTGAAGCCGCGCATGGCCTCGGTGTTTCGGCGTCGGGCAGGATCGGCACGGCACACCGGCGGTATGCGGGTCGCCGCTGGCGCTTCGACCCGGCGTCTCGGCAATGCCATCGCTGTCGGTGTCATCGCTGTCGGTGCACTTGGCTTCAGGTTCGTGCCCTTCCCTTACCGAAAGCCGCTTTGGCACGATCGCCATGGTCTTCCCGACCATCATCGGGATCGGCCGTGAGCGCCAAGCGATGACGGTGCAGGAGATCTGTCACCTCCCGATCGTCGACCTGGCCGAAGTCGCGATAATGGCTGCCCACGGACAAGAACGGCTCGGGTTGATGGAGGCAGACAACGGCGTCGGCCTCTGCGCCCAGTTCGGCGAGGCTGGATGCGGGGGCAACAGGCAAGGCGACAATGATCTGTTTGGGCCGCCGCTGCCGGACCAGGCGAAGCGCCGCGCGGGCGGTCGCCCCGGTTGCCACCCCGTCATCGACCACGATGGCCGTCCGGCCCGCCAGAGGTTCGGGCGCAAGATCACCGAAATATAGGTTCCGGCGACGCTCGAGCTCCGGCAGTTCCCGTCTGGCCAGCGCAACGATATCCTCGTGCGACAGTTTCAGACTGTCGGCAATGTCTTGGTTGACGGTGATCTGCATGTCCTGGCCGTCCGAGACAGCGCCCACGGCGAGTTCGCGTTGACCCGGCACCCCGACCTTGCGGATCAGCAGCACATCGATCGGAAGGCGGAAACGCGCGGCAATCGGAGCGGCGACGGGCAAGCCGCCGCGCGGCAGCGCCACGACCACCGCATCGCCGAGGTCGAACGCAGCCAGACGCTGCGCCAACTGCTGACCCGCATCCTGCCGATCTTCGAACAACCACATGGCAAGACCATGCCCGGACGCGGGCATCGGCGCCTTAACTTCGATCAACGCCACCGCGCGTGGCATTCGCTAGGCTTTCATCACGCAATCGAGGACATCGGGAGGACAGTCCAATGGAGTCGATCATCCGCAAGGATGATGCGGATCGGGCGGCTGCCGCCTTGGCAGATCCCGACGCGGCGCGGGCGTGCTTCGACTGGCAGGAGGCGCGGGCGCTGCTGACGGGGCTGCCGGGCGGCGCGCTGAACATCGGCTATGAGGCGGTCGACCGGCATGTCGCGCAAGGCCATGGCAGCGAAGTCGCCGTCCGCTGGATCGGCAAGGACGACACCCGCCGCGAACTGACCTATGCGGACATGGCAGACCTGTCGTCGCGCTTCGCCAATGTGCTGGCGGCCCATGGGCTGACGCAGGGCGACAGGCTGTTCGCACTCATGGGCCGGACGCCGGAGCTCTATGGCGCCGCCATCGGCACGCTCAAGGCCGGTCTTGTCTTCACACCGCTGTTTTCCGCGTTCGGCCCGGAGCCGATCCGGACCCGAATGGAGATCGGCGAGGCAAACGTCCTGCTGACGACGGCATCGATCTACCGGCGCAAGATCGCTGCCTGGCGCGACGAAATCCCCTCGCTGAAGCTCGTGCTCATCGCAGGCGACGAGGCGCCCGAGAGGTGCGTCGCGCTGGCGCCGGCACTGGCCGCCGCATCGGAGGCGTTCGAGGTCGCTCAAACGGAGCCCGAAGACAGGGCGCTGATCCACTTCACCTCCGGCACCACGGGCAAGCCCAAGGGCGCCGTCCATGTGCACCAGGCGGTGCTCTATCACGCCTATTCGGGGCGCAACGCGCTCGAATTGACGCCGGGCACGATCTACTGGTGCACGGCCGATCCGGGCTGGGTGACCGGGACGTCCTACGGCATCATCGCGCCATTGGTGAATCGCGTCACGATGATCGTCGACGAGGCCGAATTCGACGTCGAACGCTGGTATGGGATCATCGAACGGGAAAAGGTCGAGGTCTGGTATTCGGCGCCGACCGCGATCCGCATGATGATGCGTGCCGGTGCCGGGGCGGCGGCGGCGTTCGACTTTTCATCGCTGAAGTTCCTCGCCAGTGTCGGCGAGCCGCTCAACCCCGAAGCGGTCACCTGGAGCCATCAGGTCTTCGGCCGGCCGTTCCACGACAATTGGTGGCAGACCGAGACCGGCGGCATCATGATCGCCAACACCAGGGCGATGGACGTGCATCCCGGCTCGATGGGCAAGCCGCTGCCGGGGATCGAAGCGGCCATTGTCGAACGCGAGGACGGCACGCTGCGCCAGTGCAAGGCCGGCGAGATCGGCGAACTGGCGCTCAGACCCGGCTGGCCGTCGATGATGCGGACCTATCTTCATGAGCAGGCGCGCTACGACAAGTGTTTCGTCGGCGGCTGGTATCTGTCCGGCGACCTCGCCATGCAGGACGCCGATGGCTATTTCTGGTTCGTCGGCCGCGCCGACGATCTGATCAAGTCGTCCGGCCATCTGATCGGTCCGTTCGAGGTCGAAAGCGCCCTGATCGAACATGACGCGATCGCCGAAGCGGGCGTCATCGGCATTCCCGACGAGACCGCCGGCGAGATCGTCAAGGCGTACGTGACGCTCAATGCGGGGTACGAGGCGTCGGAAGACCTCGAACGCGACGTGCGCGGCCATGCCCGCAAGAGGCTGGGCCCGGCCGTCGCGCCACGCCAGATCGTCTTCCGCAAGACCCTTCCCAAGACGCGCTCCGGCAAGATCATGCGCCGCCTGCTCAAGGCGCGCGAACTGGGCCTGCCGGAGGGCGACATTTCCACACTGGAGACCGACGAGACATGAGTGTGATCGACAAGCCGCGCCTCGACCATGCGCACATGCTCTCGCTGCTCGAAAGCATGATCCGCATCCGCCGCTTCGAGGACAAATGCGCCGAACTCTACACGCAGCAGAAGATCCGCGGCTTCCTGCACCTTTACGACGGCGAGGAGGCGATCGCATCGGGCGTGATCCCGGTGCTCACGCCCGCCGACCGGATCGTCGCCACATATCGTGAGCATGGACATGCGCTGGTGCGCGGCGTCCCGATGACCGCCGTCATGGCCGAGATGTACGGCAAGGCCGAGGGCTGTTCGGGGGGCCGCGGCGGCTCGATGCACCTGTTCGATTCGGCGACCAACTTCTATGGCGGCAACGCGATCGTCGGCGGCGGTCTGCCGCTTGCCGGCGGGTTGGCGCTGGCCGACAGGATGCAGGGCACCGACAGCGTCACCGCCTGCTTCTTCGGTGAGGGCGCGGTGGCCGAGGGCGAATTCCACGAAACGCTGAACCTGTGCAAACTCTGGAGCCTGCCCGTCCTTTTCGTGTGCGAGAACAACGGTTATGCGATGGGCTCGGCGCTGGCCCGCACGGAGGCGGAGACCGACATCCACAAGAAGGCCGCCGTCTACGGCATGCATGCCGAGGTGGTCGACGGAATGGATGTCGTCGCCGTCGAGGCAGCGGCGCGGCGTGGCATTCAGAGGATTCGCGAGACGGGCGGGCCGGTCTTCCTTGAATGCCGGACCTACCGCTTCCGCGCCCATTCCATGTTCGATGCCCAGCTCTATCGGGACAAGGACGAGGTGGAGCAATGGCGCGGCAAGGGACCGATCGTCCGCTTCAAGGGCTGGCTGTTGGAGAACGGTCTTGTCGATGAAGCCGACGTGGCCGCCATCGAGACCCGGGCCGACGCGGAGATCGCCGAAGCGGTGGCCTTTGCGGAAGCCGGGACGTGGGAGCCGGTCGAGGATCTGGAAAAGCATGTGCTCGGCGAACAGCCGCCACCGCCCGTGCCCGCCAAGCCGTCAGGCGAGACCGAGGAGATCAGCTACAGGGAGGCGGTCAAACGGGCGATCCGGGAAGCGATCGAGCGCGACGATCGCGTGTTCCTGATGGGTGAGGATGTCGGCGCCTATGGCGGCTGCTACGCCGTGACAAAGGGGCTGATGGCGGAACTGGGCGAGGACCGCATCCGCGACACGCCGCTTTCCGAATCCGGTTTCACCGGCGCCGGCATCGGCGCGGCAGCCGCCGGCATGCGGCCGATCGTCGAACTGATGACCGTCAATTTCAGCCTGTTGGCGCTCGACCAGATCCTCAACACGGCGGCGACCATGCGCCACATGTCGGGCAATGCGTTCGGCGTGCCGCTGGTAATCCGCATGGCGACCGGTGCCGGCAAGCAGCTTGCCGCCCAGCACTCTCATTCGCTCGAGGGCTGGTATGCCCACATTCCCGGCCTCAAGGTGCTCGCGCCGGCAACGATTGAGGACGCGCGCGGCATGCTCTGGACGGCGCTCGAAGACCCCGACCCGGTGCTGATCTTCGAAAACGTCATGCTCTACAACCAAACCGGCACGATCGACACCAATGCGGGCGCGGTGCCGATCACCGGCGCTGCGGTCCGGCGTCCCGGCACCGATATCTCGCTGATCACCTATGGCGGCTCGCTGTACAAGGTGATGGAGGCGGCAGACCAACTGGCTGGCGAGGGAATCGAGGCCGAGGTCGTCGATCTGCGCGCGTTGCGGCCACTGGACGACGAGACGATCATGGCGTCCGTTGCGCGCACGCGGCGCGCATTGATCGTCGACGAGGGCTGGCGGACCGGGTCGCTGGCGGCCGAAGTGTCGGCGCGGATCATGGAACAGGGATTCTGGAACCTCGATGCACCGGTCGGCCGCGTCTGCTCTGCCGAAGTCCCGATCCCCTATCCCAAGCACCTCGAGGACGCCGCGATCCCGCATGTCGAGAGCATCGTTGCCGGCGCCAGGGCCGTGATGGGGCGCTGAGATGGGCGTTTTCTCCATGCCATCGCTGGGCGCCGACATGGAAGACGGCACGCTTGTCGAGTGGATGATCAAGCCCGGCGACACGGTCAAGCGCGGCGATGTGGCCGCGGTGGTCGAAACCCAAAAGGGCGCCATCGAAATCGAAGTGTTCGAAGAAGGCACGGTGCATCAATTGACCGCGGAACTCGGCCAGAAGCTGCCCGTCGGGGCGCCGCTTGCGCTGATCCTGGGTCAAGGAGAGGCCGCACCGGACACGCCGCCGGCGTCACCGGAGCCAAGGCCCGCGCCGCCTTCGGCTCCGTCATCGCCGGCCCCGACGGTCGAGCCAACGGTCGCCGAAGCCCCGCCACGACCGGCGGCGGCGCCAACGCCCGTCGCCCGACCGCCTCAAGATGTTGCGGCGTCACCGGCGGCGCGGCGGCGTGCCGCCGAGCTGGGCGTCGATCTGGCAACCGTCGCCGGCACCGGGCTGGGCGGGGCGATCCAACTGGCCGATGTCGAAGGCGCGGTCGGTGTCGCACCGGCCAAGACCGGAACCGCCGCCGTGCCGGCACATGAGGCCGTCAAACCGTCGCCCATGGCCGAAATGCGAAAGGCGATCGCCGCGGCAATGAGCCGGTCCAAACGCGAAATCCCGCATTTCTACGTAAGCCAGACGATCGACCTGACGCCGGCCGCCCAATGGCTGGAAGCCGCCAATGCGGATCGCCGTCCATCCGAGCGGCTGCTGATGGGTGCGCTGTTCGTGCGCGCTTCGGCGCTGGCGGCGGCCAGGATCAAAGCCGTCAACGGACATTACACAAATGACGCCCACGTTTCATCGGACACCGTACATGCCGGTGTCGCTGTCGCGCTGCGCGGCGGCGGCCTCGTGGCCCCGCCCGTGTTCGATGCCCAGGACAAAACAGTGGATGAGACCATGGCGGCAATGCGCGATCTGGTCACCCGTGCGCGGGCCGGCCGACTGCGCGGTTCGGAGCTGACCATGGGCACCATCACGATTTCGGCGCTGGGCGACACTGGTGCCGAGGCGATGAGCGGCGTCATCTTTCCGCCGCAGGTGGCGCTGGTCGGGATCGGCGCCCCGCAAAAACGGCCTTGGGTGACAGGCGATCGGGTGGTGCCGCGCAAGACCGTGACCGTGACGCTTTCGGTGGACCATCGGGTCTGTGACGGGCGGCAGGCGGCGAGATTTCTGGCCGCGTTCGATGATCTCATGCAATCCCCGGAGGCGCTATGACACCGCAGGAACTCAAGGCCGCATTCATCGAGGAACTGATCAAGGTGGCGCCTGACATCGAGGCCGACATGGTGGGCGATGACGATCACATCCAGGACGATCTCGAACTGGATTCGATGGACGTGCTCAATCTGGTCACCGCGCTGCACGCGCGCTTTGGTGTCGACATCCCCGAAAGCGACTATCCGCAGATCGCCACCCCGGCCTTGGCGGTCGCTTACCTGGCTAAGTCAGGCTGAACCAGCCCTGCCCCGCGCCGCCTGGCGCAGGCAGGCGATCGTCTCTCACGCGCTCGCGTCGGCTGCTTTCGTCAGCCGGGCACCTGCCGGAATGGCGAGCAGAAGCTGGCCGAAGGCAAGCGGAACAAAGCTCATCGCCGCCGACAATGCGAGCCCTTGCAGGCCGGGCCATGGAAGGCCCAGCAGGTTCGACAGCCAGGGCAGCCCGAGCGCTGCGCCGATCAGGCAGAGGCACAGCGCCAGTGCGCCCCAGACATAGCCGTTGCCGGTGACATCGTTGAGCAGGAGACTGCTGCCCCGTGTCCGCATGTTGAACACGTTCCAGAGCTGGGCCAACGCAAGCGTCAGGAACGCGACCGTGACGGCCGGGCCCGGCTCGAGCCGCATCCAGAACAGGGCGAGCGCGAACGATGCCAACGTGGCACATGTGATCGCCCCGCCCAGCAGGCCGATCAGGGTCCAGCGCGGCCGATCGACGATCGGCTCCTTGGGATCACGCGGCGGCTGTCGCATGATGTCTTCGTCGCCACGGCCGAACCCGAGGGCAAAGGCCGGGAAGACGTCGGTGATCAGATTGAGGAACAGGATCTGCAGCGGCAGGAGCGGGACCGGCAAGCCGGCGCCCACGGCAAGACCGACGACCAGCACTTCGCTGACATTGCAGCTCAGCAGATAGACGACGAACTTGCGGATGTTGTCGAAGATCACTCTGCCCTGGTGCATTGCCGCGATGATAGTCTCGAACGCGTCGTCCTTCAGCACCATGTCCGCGGCTTCGCGGGCAACGTCGGTTCCTCTCCGGCCCATGGCAATGCCGATGTCGGCCTTTTTCAAGGCCGGCGCGTCGTTGACACCGTCGCCGGTCATCGCGACCACGTGACCCGCGTCCTGATAGAGCGCGGCCAGCTTCAGCTTCGCCTCCGGCGACACACGCGCGAAGACGTCGCCGGTGAGCAGCCGCTGTTTTTCCCGGCTGGAGGCGGTTTCAGGATCGAAAAGCTCCAGTTCGCGCCCATCTATGACGATCATCCGTTCGTCCGCAATGCGCGCATCGAGGGCGATCTTGCTGGCGGTTCCCGCGTGATCGCCGGTCAGCATCACCACGCGCACGCCGGCCGCAAGACTGCTTTCGATCGCGCTCGGCACGTCGGCTCGAAGCGGATCGATGAAACAAACCATGCCGACAAGCATCAGTTCGCCGAACGGGTCGGCAAACGGCGTATCGCTCTGGCCCTTGGCAAGCGCCAGAAGGCGGAGACCGTCGGCCGCGGCCGCCGAGTTGCGGTCGGTCCACACGCGCCGGCCCTCATCGTCGAGCGCCTGGGCCCCATCGGCGGTCAGGACCGTGTTGCAGGCGGCGATCACCGCTTCCGGTGCGCCCTTGACCGCGAAAAGATAGCCGGTGCCGTCACGATGGACCGTTGTCATCGATTTGCGGTCGGAGTCGAAGGGATGCTGATGGACGCGCTCGTAGCGGTCGCGCAGGGACGCCCGGTCGCCGGTTGCTTCGGCGACAGCCAGCAGCGCCGTTTCCATGGGATCGCCCGAGACGCTGTCGTCCGACCCGTCGCCAAGTTCGGCATTGTTGCACAGCGCGCCGATAGTGACCGCGCACGCAAGAGCACCGTGCTCGCCGGGATCGAGGCGCCTTTGATCCAGCATGAACACTGCCTGATCGTCCTGCCTCTCGATCTCGATATCGCCTTCCGCCAAAAGATACCGGACCGCCGTCATGCGGTTTTCGGTCAAGGTGCCGGTCTTGTCGGTCAGAACGATGGTGGTCGCGCCGAGCGTCTCGACCGAGGAAAGCTGCGTGATCAGTGCGTTGCGCGCCGCCATGCGCCACATGCCGCGGGCAAGGCAGAGCGTTGCAACCACCGGCAAACCCTCGGGCACGGCGGCAACCGCCAGCGCGACGCCGGTCTGGATCATCTCGGTCAGGTCATGCCCCCTGAGCACGCCGGCGCCAATCGTCAGCGCCGCCAACAGGAGCGCCAGCCAGACCATCCGCTGACCCAGCCGATTGAGGCGACGCTCGAGCGGCGAGGCTTCGCCTTCCGCCGCCTGGGCCATCGCACTGATCAGTCCGATTTCAGTGTGCATTCCGGTCGCAACGACGATTCCCTCGCCGGCACCCCCTGTTATGGCGGTGCCCTTGAAGGCCATGTTGGTGCGATCACCGACCGGCATGGGATCGCTACCCAGCGTCTCGGTCTGTTTGGCGACGGGCACGGATTCGCCCGTCAGGATGGACTCGTCGCTTTGCAGGTTGAACGCCTTGCACAGACGCAGATCGGCGGTGACGATGTCACCGGCTTCCAGGACAACGATATCGCCAGGAACCAGATCGTGCGCATCGACCGAACGCACGATGCCCGAGCGCCGCACGCGCGTGCGCACATCGGCGATGCGCAGCAGCGCTTCCATGGAGCGTGCGGCACGCAGCTCGGTGAAGAAGCCGATCGCCCCGTTGATGATCAGCACCGCGAAGATCGCCGCGCCCTCGGCGACATCGCCGATCACGATCGAGAATACCGCAGCCGCGCCCAGCAGCCATACGATGATCGATCGAAACTGGCCAAGCAGTATGGACAGCGCGCTTCGTGTCGCCTGGCGGTGCAGCTGATTGGGTCCCCAGATCCGCAGCCGCCGCGCAGCTTCTGCGTCGTCCAGCCCGCGATCGATGTCGGTGTCCAGACGCTCGGCGACCGAACGTTCCGATCGGGCAAAGGCGCTCTCGATCCTTTGCTCGGTCATGGCCATCCCCTCGTTCGCCTTCCGCTTGCACCTGCGGCCGGTGCAGGCGAGGAAATCGCGGTCCGGGCAATCGTGCACCCGCGCCTTGGCATGCGGACGCGCCCGGCCGCCTTAACGCCCGTCAATCGGAACGCGGCGCCCGATGGCGATGCCGCCCGGTCGCGGTGGGCTGTGGTCATTGTCGACGGCTCCAGTGAGATTGAAACCAAATTGCACGGACCGGCCCGGTCGGGCGGCTGCCGCATTCCCATAAAGGCCGGCTCTTCTTGACCGGTGTTAATGCGGCGCGGGCATCCGTACGGCAAGCCGGTAGCGAACCCAAATCCTGTTTTGATTGCCAACCGGCCAGGAGGAGAGCCGATGATTGAGAAAACCGATACTGCTCCCGAAAAAACCGATGGCGATGAAGCTCGTGCTGTGACCGAACGTTCGTCTGCGCCGCTGTGGACCCTGCGGGAGGAGATCGATGACCTGTTCGAGGACTTTTTCGCCGGAAACCGCTTCGGTCCGTTTCGCGGCCGGCGGTTCGGCTGGCCGCGCCAGCGTGCCGGAAGCGGGTTTTCCTGGGGCATGCCGACCGTCGATGTCATAGACAAGCAAGACGCCGTCAAGATTTGCGCGGAACTTCCCGGAATGGCCGAGGATGATATCGATGTCCATGTCACCGACAGCGCGCTGGTGCTGAGCGGCGAAAAAAAGGAGGAGCGCGAAGAAGGTGACAAGGAAGGCGAGCGATATCTTGCCGAACGCCGCTACGGCTCTTTCAGCCGGACCATTGCCATTCCCGAAGGCATCGATCACGACAAGATCGAAGCCAAATTCAAAAATGGTGTGCTGACCGTGCATCTTCCGAAAAGGCCTGAGGCTCAAAAACCGAGCAAGAAGATCAAGGTCCGAGCCGACGCATGAGCGCTTCCCGGGACTGGTTCGGCAGCACGCGCAGATCGAATGAATTTCGATCCGATGGCGCGGCGTTTGCCGCGCTGACCATACTCCCTGTTCCGTGTTCCACTGTCGCAAAGACCAATCCAGAAAACCGGGGGCCGCGATGACACCGAAGACGATCCTTTTTCCGCTGCGGATCGAGCAGCCGGTCGCCGAGCTTGAAGCGGCCGTCGATTTCTGTCGAAACAACGACGCCCATTTGAGCGTGTTGCTCATCGGCCTTGCGCCGCCGCCGCCGGTCGCAACCGACACGGTTGTCATATCGGACAATTGGGCGGCGCAATCCGAAGCCGCCAAGCAGGAACTGCACGAGCGCGGCAGCGAGATCGAGCAACATCTGGCCAAGGCCGGGATCTCGGCGGAAATCAAGCGATGGCTGATGATGGAGCATTCCATTGAGGCGGGTACGGCCGAGCACGCCTTGTTTGCCGACGTGACGTTCCTGTCGCGGACATTTCCGCAGGAGCGCGGTTTTGCGCGCCAGGTCGTTTCGGGCGTCGTGTTCGGAGCCGGCAGACCGATCATCGTTGCCGATCCCGCACAGTTCGGCACGCTTTCGTGGGGAACGATCCTGATAGGCTGGGACAATGAAAAGCCGGCCGCCCGGGCTGTTGCCGAAGCGTTGCCTTTGCTGGCGGCGGCCGACAACGTGCACATTCTCTGCGTCGATCCCGATGCCGTGCCGCAACGCGATGGCGAAGCTCCGGGCTGGGATCTGGCGACCTACCTTGCCCGGCACGGCGTCCAGACCACGGTCCACACCCAGCCAAGCGGCGGTCACCCGGTGGCGACGGTTCTCGCCGATTTCGCCGAGGATCTGGGTGCCGACGGCCTGGTGATGGGCGCCTATGGCCATTCGCGGCTGCGCCAGAGACTGCTCGGCGGCACGACGCGCAGCCTGATCGAAACCGGCAAACTGCCGATCCTGATGGCCCATTGAAGTCAATGGCAATGAAGGCGCACTTTGCCTGCGGTTAATGCAGCGCACGCCCGGCGTCCTAGCATTGAAACCAAAGAAGAGCGCCTGTTCGGCTGTGGAAACGGGCTGGCCGGCGTTGGCCGGTTGCGGCATTGGCCGGACAATCGGAGCGGTTTCATGAGGCGGCCTTGCTGCCCGGAAGGCATCTGGCAGGCGCTTTTGCAAGATCGGAGCATCAGACATGCAGGTCCACCAGATCATGTCCAGCCCCGCACAGACCATCGGATCCGACCAGACGATCGGTGCCGCCACCTTGCTCATGAAGCAGTTCGACATCGGTTCACTGCCGGTCCTGCAATCGGGCGGCAGGGTCGTCGGCATGATAACGGACCGCGACATCGTCCTGGGGCTGGCGAAGAACGCCTCGGCGCAGCTGTCGATGGAGGTCGGCCGGATGATGACCCGCAGCGTCCTGCGCTGCTATGCCGATCAGTCCATTGAGACGATCGCCGTCATCATGAGCGACAATCAGGTGCGGCGATTGCCGGTCATGGATCGTTTCGAGCGGCTGGTCGGCGTCGTTTCGGTTGGCGACATAGCCGAAGATGCCTCGGAACGGCTTGCGGGAGAAATCCTCGGCGAAATCGTGGAAACGCGATGAGCGTCAGCCAGGACCGGTCATGACACGAGGGGTCTGGGCAAAATCTCCGCCCGAAGACAGTCAATATCGACCTTTGCGATTTCCGCCAGCTGGACGGCGTCTCTGACGCGAACGTCCATGTGATCGGCCACATCGATGATGCCGTTTCGCTCCAGCCGCCGCATTGTCCGGCAGACATGAACGGATGACAGGCCCATGAACTCGCCCAGCTGCTGCTGGGTCAGCGGAATATGGAATGCTTGGTCGGTTCCTTCTCCCAGAGCGCGAAGCCGGATGCACAACTCCAGCAGCGCATAGGCAATCCGCATTTGTGCGGTTCCCTTTCCCAATCGGAGCATCCGTTCGGCGATCCGGGCCCGGGTCGCGCCGGACAGAACCGTCCGGACCGACTCCATCTCGGGCACCTGGGCGATCAGTTGTTTCCATTGAGTATGGGAATGGCGTGCAAGCAGCGTGTCCGTCAGCGCCTGGACCTCCAGCGCGGCCATCGACGCATCCGCCGATGCAGCGAATATGAACTCGCCGGGCAATGCGAAATCGATGATCTGTCGGTCGCCATTGCGCAGCGACTTCGACAGCGCGATCCAGCCATCCACCAAGGCAATGAGATACGGAACCTTATCGCCCTCATGGACGACGAGCGTACCGGCGCTGACCGCCGTCACCCGTGGCCGCAGGGCTTCCACCAGACGCTGGCTCTGAACGATGCCGTGTCGCGACGCTTGGGTCGCGACGTGCCTGACAAACCTGTCACTGGTGTTCCCGGCGGTCATCAGATCGGCGTGCATGGCGTTCTCCGAAGCAGAGCCGCACAGCCGACGAGAGCATTTCGGCCAATCGATCGGCGTTCCGTGTCTTGTCAGGACACCGCCGCCGTTGGCCACCTCTTCGCCGGCCTCGCCCCCGGCAGGATTGAATTTCCTTTCAGACGTTATCACGCACCGCTCGACTTGACCAATGTTAATGCGCGGTTGTCGCGGCCGTCGGACCCTGGAGAGACCGTGCAGACAAGCATCCGCTCTCTCGGACGCCCTCTCGCCACGCTGCCAAGCGCCTCGGATGAACGTGTCTTTGCTTTTGCCCGGTTGACGATCAATGGAGGAGATGATGAGCCCCACGATCCGGACTTTGAAATATGCAGCCATTGCAACAGCATTGGTACTAGGGTCGGCCACTTCGGCACTGGCATTCAGCGCCTGCCAGGTGACCGACACCGGCGGCATTGACGACAACAGCTTCAACCAGACGGCCTGGAAAGGCATCCAGGACGCGCAGGAACAACTCGGCATCGAGCCGCGCTTTCTGGAATCGCAGGCCGAAACGGACTACATGCCGAACATCAATTCGCTGCTTGGCGGGCAGTGCGATCTGATCATAACCGTCGGGTTCCTTTTGGGCGACGCCACGCAGGAAGCCGCCGAGGCCAATCCCGGCCAGAAGTTCTCGATCGTCGATTTCGCCTACGACCCGGCCATTCCCAACGTGGTCGGTCAGGTGTTTGCGACCGACCAGGCCGCCTTTCTTGCCGGCTATCTGGCGGCGGGCATGACCGAGACCGGCATCATCGGCACGTTCGGCGGCATCAATATTCCGCCGGTGACGATCTTCATGGACGGCTTCGTGCGCGGGGCCGACTACCACAACGCGCAGAAAGGCACCGAGGTCACGGTTCTGGGTTGGGACCTGGACAGCCGCGAGGGCCTGTTCACCAACAATTTCGAATCCCTGGACGACGGCCGTGCCTTCGCCCAGAACCTCTACGATGAGGGCGCGGACATCGTGCTGCCGGTGGCCGGCCCGGTCGGCCTCGGTTCGGCCGCGCTGGCCGACGAGTTGGGCACGGATGCGCTGAAGATCATCGGCGTGGATGCCGATCTGTACGTCACCGACCCCGAAAAGCGCCATGTCTATCTCACCTCGATCCTCAAGCGCATGGATTCGACCGTCTTCCAGGTCATCGAAGCGGCGATGAACGACACCTTCGAGGGCGGTGTCACGGTCGGCACGCTCGAAAATGGCGGCGTCGGCCTTGCGCCATTCCATGACATGGATGCGCTGGTCCCCGACGAACTCAAGGCGGAGATCGAAGCGATCCGCCAGGGGATCATCGACGGCTCAATCGACGTTTCCGGCTAGCATCGCACCGGCCTTCCCGAACCGGCTCCGGTCGGCGAGGAATGCCTGATCGGAGACCGCATCGCCATGGACATAGAGCTGCGCGGCATCACCAAACGGTTCGGACCGGTGGTCGCCAATGCCGGGGTCGATCTACATGTCCGCGCCGGCGAGGTTCTGGGCCTTCTGGGCGAGAACGGTGCGGGCAAGTCGACACTGATGAACGTGTTGTGCGGCCTTTATGCGCCCGACGAAGGCGAGATCGTCATCGACGGCCGGCCCGTCACGTTCGACGGGCCAAGCGATGCGATCGCGGCCGGCATCGGAATGGTCCATCAGCATTTCATGCTGGTACCGGTCTTCACGGTTGCCGAAAACGTCATCCTCGGCATCGAGCCGACCGGCCAGCTGGACTTTCTCGATCGAGCGGCGGCCCGCCGGCAGGTGCGCGAGATCGGCGACCAGTACGGCCTGCGCGTCGACCCCGACGCGCTGATCGAGGAACTGCCGGTCGGGGTGCAGCAGCGGGTCGAGATCATCAAGGTGCTTTTCCGGTCCGCCGACGTCCTCATCCTCGACGAGCCGACCGCCGTGCTCACGCCGCAGGAGGTCGAGGAATTCTTCGGCATCGTCAGGGCACTGCGCGATGCCGGCAAGGCCATCATCTTCATCACCCACAAACTCGATGAGATTCTGGAGATATCCGATCGCATCACGGTTCTTCGCGGAGGCCGCGTTGCCGGACAGGGCGATCCCGAAACGCTCACCACCCGGCAGCTGGCAGAGATGATGGTCGGCCGGCCGGTCAGCTTCGACGTCGAAAAGGCCGCCTACGCGCCTGGCGATGTTCTGCTGGAGGTGCGGGAACTGACGGTCTTGCGCAACAATGACGAGATCGCCGTCGACGATGTGTCACTGGCCGTTCGCAGCGGAGAGATCGTCGGCATCGCGGGCGTCCAGGGCAACGGCCAGACGGCGCTCATCGAGGCCATCACCGGTCTGCGCCACCCCGCCAGCGGCTCGATAATCTACGATGGTCGGGACATAACCCACAGCTCGGTCCGCGCCCGTCACGCCATGGGGATCGCCCACATTCCCGAGGACCGGCAACGCACCGGCATCATCGGCGATTTCACGATCGCCGAGAACATGGTTCTCAACAGCTACTATGACGACCGCTATGCATCGGGGCCATCGATCCGGTGGCCCGAGGTCATGCAGCATGCGGCCCGCTACGCCGCCGATTTCGACGTTCGGACACCGTCGGTGCACGCCAAGGCGTTTCAGCTGTCGGGCGGCAATCAGCAGAAGCTCGTCGTCGCCCGCGAACTGACACGCGACACCAAGCTCCTGATCGCCGCCCAGCCCACGCGCGGCCTCGATGTCGGCTCGGTCGAATACATCCACAAGCGCATCGTCGAGGCCCGCGACGAGGGTGACGGCGTGTTGATCATGTCGTCCGAGCTCGATGAGATCGTGGCGCTTTCCGATCGGATTGTCGTCATGTTCAAAGGCCGGATCGTCGCCGAATTCGACGCTTTCAGGGGCCCTGTCGACCGCAACGCGGTCGGACTGGCAATGGCCGGATCGGTATCGGAGGCCGCCGCATGACCGATCAAACGGCGTCCGACCCGCTCACCCAGAAATTGCTGGAACGCGCCGCCCCAAGCCGGGCGGAGTTCGAAGACTTGGTCATCGTGCCGATCTTCGCCGTGATCGTGGCGCTTGCCGTCGGTGCGCTGGTGATGCTTGCGACCGCGGTCGACCTGCCGACGATCGGACAATCCTATGTGGCGCTCGTCCGGGGTTCCGTCGGTTCACTCAATGCGCTGTCGGAAACCCTGACCGCCGCGGCTCCCCTGGTGCTGGCCGGTCTCGGTCTGGCGCTCGGCTTCCGCGCCGGCCTGTTCAATATCGGCGCCGAAGGCCAGATCGTCATTGGCGGTCTTGTCGCCGTGATTGTCGGCTTCTCCTTTGCCGGGCTGCCCTGGGCGATCCATTTGCCGCTGGCCCTGTTCGCGGGCGCGCTCGCCGGCGCGCTTTATGCCTCGATCGCCGGCTGGCTGCGCGCCGCAACCGGCGCGCATGAGGTGATCACGACCATCATGCTCAACCTGATCTCCTATCGCATCCTCGATTATGTCCTGCGTCAGCCCTTCGTGCAGCGCGAGGGGCGCGCCGATCCGATTTCGCGCTCGGTGTTGGACAGTGCCCAGTTGCCGGGACTGCTCACCTGGATCGACCCCAATCTGCGTGTCCATGCCGGCGTCTTCCTCGTCGTCTTGGCGGTCATCGTCGTCTACTGGCTGCTGTTTCGGACCAAGGTCGGCTTCGAATTCCGGGCGAGCGGCAAGAACCCCGATGCCGCCCGCTACGCGGGCATCCGCGCCTCGTTCATCATCGTCGCGGCCATGGCCTGTGCCGGTGCGCTCGCCGGCCTTGCCGGCGCAAACCAGGTGCTGGGTGTGCTCGACCGCGCGTCCCCGGGCTTTTCGGCCGGCATCGGGTTCGACGCAATCTCGGTTGCCCTTCTCGGTCGGTCGCACCCGGTCGGCGTTCTGTTCGCCGGCCTCCTGTTCGGCGCGCTGGAAGCCGGCGGGCGGCAGATGCAGGTCGATGCCGGTGTGTCCGTCGATCTGATCGGCATCATCCAGGCGTTGATCATCGTGTTCATCGCCGCGCCATTGCTGGTGCGGGCCATTTTTCCATGGGGCTTCCGCAAGTCCGAAGCGGGACGCAATGAGTGAGCGGCCATGGTAGCGGCGCAGGACATCTCCCATTCGCAGCGGATCGGAACCCCGGCCGACCGGCGGGCCCGCATCACCGGAGTGGTGCTGATCGGGCTTGCCTTGTTCGTCGCGGGCGTCTTCAGCATCGGCGTGACGGGCGACGCGACGTTCCGGCTGTCACGGCCAAACGATGTCTGGGCCATACCCAACCTTGTGCTGCCCGCGGCACCCTTCAACTACATCATCGCCGCGGTGCTGGCTTTTCTCGGCGCCCGCCAGTTCCTGCGCGGCGGCGGCCGCTGGACGACGCTGTCGTTGGGCATCGGTCTGGCGCTCGCTGTCGCTGCGTTTCTCGTCTGGGCGACCGCCGGCAAGGCGTTTTCCCTCACCGGCATGCTGCAGGCGACGATGGTGCGCGCGGTGCCGCTGGTGCTCGGCGCCATAACCGGCATGATGTGCGAGCGCGTCGGCGTCGTGAACATCGCGATCGAAGGCATGCTGCTGGCCGGCGCGTTCACCGGCGCCCTGATGGGGTCCCTGCTGGGCGGGGTCGGCGGATTGATCGCCGCGATCGGGATCGGCGGCCTTTTCGGCTTCATTCTGGCGGCGCTCGTCGTCACCTACCGCATGGACCAGATCATCGCCGGCGTCGTGATCAACCTGTTTGTGCTCGGCCTGACATCCTACGTGTCCAGCCAGGTCTTCGCCGAGCACCGGTTTTTGAACAATGCGCCCGTGTTCCGCGCCTACAAGGTGCCCATCCTTGGCGACATACCGGTCATCGGTCCGATGTTCTTCAATCAGAACCTGTTCGTTTACGGCGCGCTGGTGATGGTGGGTGTGGCCACCTACTACCTGTTCTACACGCGCATGGGCCTGCGCGCCCGGTCGGTCGGTGAGCATCCGCGCGCCGCCGACACGCTGGGCATCAACGTCTACCGGACCCGCTACATCAACGTGACCGTGGCCGGCATGATCGCCGGATTTGGCGGCGCCTGGTTCACGCTTGGTTCGGTCGGCCGTTTCGATGAAAACATGACCGGCGGCCGGGGGTTCATCGCGCTCGCGGCCATGCTGTTCGGCCGCTATCATCCGGTCGGCGCGCTGATGGCCGCGCTGGTCTTCGGCTTTGCCGATTCCATGCAGCAGAAACTGGCTTTGCTGCAGACGCCGATCCCGTCCGAGTTCCTTTCGATGGCCCCCTACATCGCGACGATCATCGTGGTCGCCGGCGTGGTCGGCCGAACGCGCACGCCGGCTGCCGGCGGCAAGCCATACATCAAGGAGTAGGCCGATGAAGGTTACCGGGATAACGACGCTCGATCACGCTCCCCATGACGTCAACGCCTGGCTCAAACATGTGTGCGACGCGCTTGGCTGGCAGGAGAAGGGGCGCGCCTACCTGCTGCTGCGAACGGTCCTGCACGCGGTGCGCGACTGGCTGACGGCCGACGAAGCCGCTCAGCTCGCCGCGCAACTGCCGATCCTGTTGCGGGGCATTTACTATGAGGGCTGGGACCCGTCCGACACGCCGGTGCACCCGCGCGCCAGGTCCGACTTCGTCGCCCGCGTCGATCACATGTTCACCAAGGAGCCGCTGGAAGACACCGAAGCGGCGATCACGGCTGTGCTCGGCGTTCTCGAGCAACATGTCTCATCGGGCGAGATCGAACAGGTCAAGCACGCCATGCGCGCCAGCATTCGCGACCTTTGGCCCTGAGCCGATCGGGGCCGCAGATCACGCCGCCGGTACCGGACCCGACAACATCGCCGTCGGTCCGCCTCGGCGCCCTTGTCGCCGGTCTCGCCTATCTCCTGATGACCGCGCTCGCGATTGCGGTCGCCTTCGATACCGACGCGCTGTCGCGTCTCGCCCGGTCGGGGATCGATGGCGAGGCATGGCCGGCGGATGTCACGAGCCGCCTGTTGATCATGGTGATCGGGTTCGCTGTCATCGCCCTGCTCGATGTTGCGATTGCCTGGGGTCTGTATCGTCTGTTCAAGCACCGCCGGCGGCGTCTCGCGCTTGCCATGTCGGGGATGCGGATCATTTACGCCGTCCTTTTCCTCCACGCATTGACCCATGTTGCCGGCGCGCTGGAAATCACGCGGTCCGCGCCATTTGACGCGGGCACGCTGGCAGTCGCCATGGGCGGACTTGAGCGCTTCGAACGCGCCTGGGACATCGCGTTTTTCTTCTTCAGCACCCATCTCATCCTTCTGGGCTATCTCGTCTACGCCCGCACCCTTGTGCACCGAACCCTTTCGGTCATGCTGGTCATCGCAGGTCTGGGCTATCTCGCCGACAGCACGATCGGTTTGGCCATGAACAAGGCACCGTTCGTGTTCGCGCCCTTCACCTTTGTTGGTGAGATGGCGCTGATGATCTGGCTTCTTGCCGTGGCCGCCAGGCCCGGTGTTGCAGGAGACGATCGACAGCATTCCGCACGGTCCGCTGTACGGCCATGAGAATTGCCGATGGACCGGGCTTCGAAACCCGCCGAAAGGCTGCAGCCTTTGGCCCTGGTGCCTCTTCCGGGGCCCGGCGTTGACCGGTGTTAAGGCGGCCTCGTGCGGCCGCGTTAGGGTCGATTGCATCGCGGATGGCACGCGGCGTGAAACAAGGAGGCACTCATGGGTTTGGTTGATGGTAAGGTGGCCATGGTAACGGGCGCGGCGGCTGGCATCGGTCGGGCCACCGCACTGAAGTTCGCCGGGGAAGGCGCCCGGGTGGTCGTCTCCGACATCGATATCGAGGGCGGCGAAGAAACCGCCAGGATGATCGCCGATGCGGGCGGTCAGGCCGTGTTCGTCGAGTGCGACACGTCCGACGCGGACCAGATCGACGCGCTGGTCGCCAAGACCGTCGACACCTATGGTCAACTCGACTGCGCCTGCAACAATGCCGGTATCGAGGGCAAGATCATGCCGCTCGTCGACCAGACCATGGACAATTACGATCGGATCATGGCGGTCAATGCGCGCGGCACGTTTCTGTGCATGAAGGCCGAGATCGCCCAGATGCTGAAGACCGGCGGCGGCGCCATCGTCAATCTCGCCTCCGTCGCCGGACTGATCGGATTTCCGGGGCTTTCGCCCTATGTCGCCTCAAAGCACGCGGTCAACGGCATGACCAAGAACGCGGCGCTGGAATATGGAAAGGCAGGCATCCGCATCAACTCGGTCTGCCCGGGCGGCATCGATACCCGGATGCTCGATTCGCTCGCCGAACAGGCTACGCAAGGCGCCCAGGACTCGCACGAGATGCTCGATCCGTTGCACCCGATCGGCCGCATCGGCGTACCCGACGAGGTGGCCGGGGCGATCGTCTGGCTTTCTTCGCCGGCAGCGTCCTTCGTCACCGGGATCAACATGCCCGTCGATGGCGGCTTCGTCGCGCAATGATGCGCCGTGGGAGCGATGCCGTCGAGAACCGCGCCTGACCAATGGCCTGACGGTCGGGGCAACGCGCTGAAGAACATCGAACGCCGGACGTCGGCTCCAGGCACTGCCGCACCCGATTGCGCGGGGCGCCGACCATTTCAGGCCGCTGTGGGCGCCGGGCGTGGCGTCGCCGTTGAAACGGACCGCAAAGAGATGACGAAACAACAGCAATGCACGGATGCCAGGTCCGTTTCGCCTCGAATTGCGACGGAGAACGGCTCATCGCCGGTTGCCGACCCGCATCCGCATCGCATGCTCGACCGCACCGCGCGGGCGACGCTGGCAAGGATGACGGGCGGGGTTTCGCCCCATTCGATCTTCGGGGCCTGGAGCGACTGGGCGCTGCATCTGGGCCGATCGCCCGGCCGTCAGCTGGAGCTGATGGAGCGGGCGCAGACCAATGCCGTCAGGCTTGTTGCGCAGATCCTTGCGGAAGGGCCGGAACCGTTCAGGCCGAGAGTTCACGACCACCGCTTCTCACACCCGTCTTGGAACAAGCCTCCCTTCAATGCGTGGGCGCAGTGTTTTCTGGCGATCCAGGACTGGTGGGATGCGGCGACCGATGAGATGCCCGGCCTCGCCAAAGGCGACGCCGACCGCACACGGTTCCAGGCCCGCCAGGCGCTCGACATGATATCGCCATCGAATTTTCCCTGGTCGAATCCCGAAATCATCGAAGAAACCGTCACGCAAAAAGGGCAAAACCTGATCGACGGCGCGCGCCACTTCACCGAGGATGTGATCCAAACGCTCACGCAGGCGCACAAGCCCGCCCCGCCCGGGTTCGAGGTCGGCGAGCACCTGGCCTGCACGCCGGGTGAGGTCGTGTTTCGCAACGACCTTTTCGAGCTCATTCAATATGCGCCGCAGACCGATCGGGTTCATCCCGAACCGGTTCTTTTCGTCCCGGCCTGGATCATGAAGTACTACGTGCTCGATCTGTCGCCGGAAAACTCGATGGTCGCATTTCTGGTGCGCCAGGGTTTCACGGTCTTCATGATCTCCTGGTGCAATCCGACGGCCGATCAGTCGGAACTGTCGCTGGAGGACTATCGCAGGCGCGGCGTGATGGCGGCCCTCGATGTGGTCGACGACATCGTGCCCGGCGCAAAGGTCCATGCCAACGGCTATTGCCTTGGCGGCACGCTTCTGGCGATTGCCGCTGCCGTCATGGCGCGGGACGGCGACGATCGCCTCGCCTCCATCACCTTGATGGCTGCGCAGGTCGACTTTGCCGAGGCCGGGGAATTGCTGATGTTCGTCGACGAGAGCCAAGTCGCCTTCATCGAGGACCTGATGTGGATCCAGGGCTATCTGGACCGGCCTCAGATGGCCCGGACCTTCGCATCGATCCGGGCCGAGGACCTGATCTATACCCGCGCCGTGAACCGCTATTTTCTCGCTCGCGAGGACCTGCCCTCGGACCTTCTGGTGTGGAACGGCGACACCACGCGGATGCCGGCGCGAATGCACTCGGAGTATCTGCGCGGGCTGTTTCTGGAAAACCGGTTGAGTGCGGGGCGGTTCGCGGTCGAGGGCCGGGTGATCGCGTTAAAGGACATAGAAGTGCCGATCTTCGTCGTCGGCACCGAAACCGACCACATCGCGCCATGGCGGTCGGTCTACAAGACCCAACTGTTTACCGACAGCGAGTTGACATTCGTCCTGACCAGGGCCGGGCACAATGGCGGGATCCTGAGCGAACCGGGCCACAAGGGTCGCCACTACAGGATCGGGCACCGGCCTGCGGGCGCGCTGTATGCGGGCCCCGATGCGTGGCTCGCCCGGCACGAGCCGACCGAGGGCTCCTGGTGGCCGGAAATGGCGGACTGGCTGGCTTGTCGATCCGGAGAGCCGGGGCCGCCGCCTTCGATGGGCCGGTCCGGTGGCGATGGGCCGACACTGGGCCCGGCGCCCGGCTCCTACGTGCATCAGATCTGATATCGCAGCGTCCGCAGCCGGTCTCCGGCCTGTGCCGCGAGCCATCAGGACCGCTTCGGATTGATCATGCACATGAACGGCTGGGCGCCGTCCTTCTCGAAATGCAGCTGGCCGAGAACCGTGACGACCTCGGCGCTCTCGTTCTTCAGCGCCGCATTGGCTTCATACCGGATATGGCCGATATGCGCATGCTCCTCGACATGATCCATCAGCGCACGCATGACATCGAGCGGTGTTCGATCGAAAAGGTCGGGCGGGCCCGAGAACTCGTACCGGCCTTCGCCGCCGCGCGTTCCATGCATGATTACCGCCTGATATGTCGCCATAGCTCGTCCTCCTGGCCTTGCCATCAGGATTAAGCCTCGTTGATGACAGTTTTGCTGTGGCTGACCTCGAAGCGGGCCGCTCCGGCAAAGACTTGGCCATTCAGTGCCCGGACGCCTCGTCATCGGCCCCGTCCGAGTAGCGCGGCACGTCGAAAACCGTCCGCCGGGAGCCGACAAGCCGGACGTTCTGGCGAAAAGCGACGCGCGGCGCGGCGCGCTCATGCTCCGTCCGGTCTGTCGTTGCCTTCGGTTTCCGAAAGTGCCGTCGGCAGCACGACCAGACCCTGCGCGCTGTCGGCCCGGTGGATTTCGACGCCATAGACCGTCCGCATCAACTCATCGGTCAACACCGTGGCCGGCGGTCCGTCGGCGACGATCCGGCCCTCGTTGAGAACGACGATACGATCGCACCAGCGCGCCGCCAAGGAAATCTCGTGAAGACAGGCGACGACGCTGCGCCCTTCGCGCGCCAGATCGGAAAACGTCGCCATCAGCGCGATCTGGTGCGACGGATCGAGCCCGGCGGTCGGCTCGTCCGCAAGCAGCAGCGGCGTGTCCTGCGCCAGCGCCCGCGCGATCAGCACCCGCGCCCGTTCGCCGCCGGAAAGCTCGGTCGCGCGGCGGTGGCGCAGCGCGGTCACGGCCATGCGTTCCATCGCCGCCTCGATCAGGGCCTGGTCCTTCGCCGACGGCGCCGCCACGGCGCTTCGGCCAAAGGCCCGGCCCAGCCCGACAAGCACTTCGACGCTCACCGGCCAGTGCACCTCGCGTTCCTGCGGCAGATAGGCGGCGATCCGCGCCCGTTCGAGAGCGCTCATGGTCCGGCTTTCAGCATCGCCAAGCCTTATGTCTCCCGCACCCGGGGCCTGGCCGAGGATGGCTTTGAGAAAGGTCGACTTGCCCGCGCCGTTGGGCCCGATCAGGCCGACGCATTCGCCCGACTCGACGGTCAGATCGATTCCGTTCAGCACGGCCCGCTTGCCGAGAGCCACCGAAAGGTCCCGGACCGCAAGAAGGCTCATACCAATGTCCTCCGGTAGCGGAAGACGAGCCAGAGAAAGAACGGCGCGCCGATCAGCGCGGTCAGGACGCCGATCTTCAGGTCCCGGGCCGGCGCGACGATCCGCACTGCAATGTCGGCGGCCAGCAGCAGCGCCGCGCCGCCCAGCGCGCTCGCCGGCAACAGGCGCGAGGGCCGCGCGCCGACCAGCGGGCGCAGGACGTGCGGCACGATCAGGCCGACAAAGCCGATTGCGCCTGCAACGGCGGTTGCTGCACCGACCGACGCCGCCGTTCCGAACACCGCCAGAAAACGCACGCGGCCCATGTCGACACCCATGGATTGGGCCGCCTGTTCACCGAGCGTCAGAACGTCGAGCGGTCGGGCCAGCGCGGCCAGCATCGCCCAGCCCACGATCATGACGGGCAGCGACAGCCAGACATGGGTCATCGACCGGTCGTTGAGCGAGCCCAGCATCCAGAAGACGATCTCGAGCGCAGCGAAGGGATTGGGCGACAAGTTGAGCGCCAGCGACGTCATCGCGCCGGCAAAGCTGGAGACGGCGACACCTGCCAGGATGATCGTCAGCACGTTGCCCGACAGGCCCGCCAGCGCCTGCACGATGAGCACAGCGACCACCGCGCCGGCAAGCGCGGCAAGCGGCAGACCGAGCGGAAACGCGGCGGCAAAGCCCGTATAGAGCGCCAGAACCGCGCCAAGCGAAGCCGAAGCGCTGATGCCGAGCAAACCCGGCTCGGCGAGCGGATTGCGCAGATAGCCCTGCAGCGCCGCGCCCGAAAGGCCCAGCGTCGCGCCGATCGCCGCCGCCAGAATCGCCCGCGGCAGCCGGATTTCCTGCATGATCAGGGCGAGCGGTCCGCGATCGTCTGAAAAAAGGCCGGCGAACGCATCGAAAAAGCCGGTCGCCGCGGGACCGGTCAAAAGCGACACGCCGAACAGCAAAAGGACGACAAGCGCCAAAACGCCGATCAGGAGATGAAAGCGCGTCCTCTCACTCATCGGCCGCGGCAAGGTCGGCATGGGCAGCCAGGCGCCGTGCCGCTTCCAGTGTCAGGGGTGTGCCACAGAGCCAGTATGTGCTGTCCATGACGATGCCGCGCCCGGCGCCGGCAACGGCGCGATAGGCCGGGTGACGGAACGCTTCCTGTGCCCGCGCCGGCCGGCCGAAATCGCGCCCGCCGCCGGCGACCAGTTCGGGCTCGGCGTTGACGAGCATTTCCAGCGGCAGCTTCACCGTGCCCTCATAGCCCATCTCCCGGCCCAGATTTTTCAGCCCGGAGGCTTCGACAACGGCGTCGGCGAGCGTTCCGCCGCCGGACGTATAGCTGTTGGCAAAATAGAGCGCGAGCATCTGGTCGCTTGGCGGAGAGGCCCTTAGCGCAGCGAGATCCGCATCGAAACGCGCGACCAGCGCTCCGGCACGCGACGGATTGCCGAGCAGGTCCCCCATGCGGACGATGTTGGCACGAATGTCCGCAAGGGAGGCAGCCGGCGCGAACTGCTCGACCCGGAAGCCGAGACGCTGAAGCAAGGTCACTGTGGCGCGTGTGGAGAACGTACCGGCGATGACGAGATCGGGCTTCATCAGGAAGATCTCCTCGGCCAGGCCGCGATTGAGCCGCAGCCCTTCAGCCTCGTTGGCCAGAACCGACATGGCGGGATCGGCGGCCAGCCATGACACCGAATGAAGCTGGCCCGGCCTGGCGACCAGCATGGCAAGCTGGTCGGTGCACACGTTCATCGACACGACACGCGCCGGCGGCTCTGCGGCCGGCACGGCCAATGCCCCACCGAGCCACACCAGGGCGCCGAGCAACAGCGATCGCGACGCCCGCCACATGGTCAGAACCGCGCCTTGACGCCGGCAAAGGCGGCACGTCCCTGCGTGTTGTAGCCGAACACCTCCTCATAGCGCTCGTCCAACAGGTTCTCGACGCGGCCGTAAACCTCCACCGTCTCGTTGACCTTGAAGCTCCCGCCGATATTGACCAGCACATAGTCGGTCAGCGTCACGCGGGTCTGCGGCGTCGCATTGATGAATTCCAGATCGTCCATCGCCCCATTGTAGATGACTTCGCCGAAAAGCTGCGCCCGACCTTGATAAAACGTGTAGGCCGCCGAAAGCGATGCGCTGTGCATCGGCCGGCGCACCTCACGCATGCCGTTGGGGTCTGTGGCGTCGGTATAGGTGTACATCGCCGTCGTCGAAAAACCGTCGAACAGTTCGGCCGTCGCGGACAATTCGACGCCCTGCCTGTGCGATGTCCCGTTGAGGTTGCGCACCGTCTGCCCGAAGCCCTGGATCTCGTTTTCCAGATTTTGGTCGAACCATGTGACGTCGACGACGACCAGCCCGTCCCAGAGGCTTTGCTCGATGCCGACATCCCAGCCAAGGCTTTCCTCGGGCCGCAAATCGGGATTTCCCCGGAAGCTGCCCGGCACGAAGCCGAACTGCTCGAAGAAGGTCGGGTTCTTGACGCCGGTTCCGACCGAGGCGTGAAGGCGCGTGCCGGTGCCAGGCACGGCCCAGGCGCCGGCCACGCTGTAGGTCGTCGCATCCTTGAACGGGTCGTTCATGTCGTGGCGCACGGCGGCGTTCAGATAGAATTGGCCGGCGAACTCGCCGCGATATTCGGCGACGAAGGATTGCGTCACGCGCTCCTGCGTCGCGGTCTGCCAGAACCGCTCCTGCTCCCATTCATAAGCGCCGGTGACCGTATGGACGGCATCGAGCAGCGCAGGCGTTTCGAACATATAGCTCGACTGAACCTCCGCCTTCAGGCGATTGCCCTTGTTGGTCGAGGTAACGACACCGCCGCGTGCGCTGTCGCGCTCGTCGCCGCTCCCCGAAAACCGGGCGCCGTGCGTCCACGCACCATCGAGCGAGGTCCATGTGGCGCCGATCGCGCCGGAAAGCTCCTGCACATCCGACGTGTCGTCGCTGTCGATGACGAGCCCTTGCGTCGGCGTTGCGGGAAAGGCGAAATCCTGTCGGTCGGTCTCGACGAACCGGTCGACCATGCGGCCATTGGCGTCGATCACCAGATTGTCGTTGACGTCGAGCGTGAAGCGCCCGGTCAGTGTCAGGTTCTCGTCACCGTCCTTCTCGGTCCCGAAGTCCGAAAGGTTGAAACCGTCCGTGCGACGGAACCGCGCGGACACGGCCGCATCGAACCACTCCGTCCCGCCGCGCACGGCGACGCCGCCCAGAAACGTGCCATCGGTTCCGGTCTCGCTTTGAAGCAGCGCTTCGAACCCGTCGCGCGGCCCCCTTTTGGTGATGACGTTGATGACGCCGGCAAGCGCGTCCGATCCGTAAAGCGCGCTCTGCGGGCCGCGCAGCACCTCGATGCGGTCGACATCGCCGACCTGCAGGCCGCCAAAGTCGAACTCGCCCTGGCTGACCGACGACACTTCGACGCCGTCGATCAGAACCAGCACATGATTGCCCTCGGAGCCGCGCACGCGCACCTGGGTCGGCGCGCCGAACGAACCGGCACGCGAGACATGAAAGCCGGGCACCCGGCGCAGGGCGTCTGCGAGATAGCGTGTCTGGCTGCGCTTGAGCTCTTCCCCGGTAATCACCGTGAAGGCACGCCCGGACGCTTCCTGCTCGACCGGCGTCCGCCCGGCGGTGATCAGAAGGGTCGGCAGGACCGTCGCGCCATCGTCAGTGCCCTCTTGGGCATGAACAGGCCGCGGCAGCGACAACGCCGCCCAGGCGGCTGTGGCAAGAAGAATGGTTCGGATCACGGTAGTCCCCCAAATGTCCGTGTGGCCCGCACAAGGACCACGTGTTTGAACCCGGCGTTTGCCGGACCGGCCATTCTGATGGAGGAAAGCCACCCGACGGACGCTCCGCGCAAAGACGCATCTTTCGATGTCACCTCTGCGGAACAGACCGTGCCTTGCCACACCCCGTGGCCCGGCTGGGTGACCGTTCAAGGCAGGTTTCCTGGCTTCCGTTTCAGCGCCGCGCCTTGCCTTCCCATCCGTGCGGACAGTGGCGTGATCAGGCGGGCTCCACGGTTACAGTTGCGGGGGCAGCCATGGTCTTGGTCCCTTGCGGGTACGCCGCACCATGTTCCCTTTTAACGACCCGTCGGGTCGCACCTTGAAGCGGGCGAAACAAAACGTGGCGGGCGCCAAGAGTCAATCCTGAAACCGGAAAGACGGGCTTTGCCGCCTTGGCGCCTGCGCGGCTTCATTCCTCGAGTACGGCCTCAAAGCCCTCGAACTGCGGATGGCCCGCATACATGCCCTTGGTGTCGCCGGCATTGGCGTGGGCCTGGCGGAAATGGTCGGATCTGGTCCAGGCGACGAAATCGTCCCGGCTGCCCCAGATCGTGTGCGACGCATAGAGTGTGGTGCGGCTGTCTTGGTCGAAGTCGCCCTTGAGCAGATGAAAGGTCTGAAATCCGGGCACCTGTTTGAGGCGCGAATCGCGGTTGCGCCAGACCTCCTCGAAAGCCGCCTCATGGCCTTCATTGATCTTGAAACGGTTCATCGCGACGAACATGGCTGGATCTCCTGTGGGGTTCTGGAATGGCGGCTTCCGGTTTGTGCAGATGCGTGCGCGACAGGCGTGTGAAGAACCGAACGCCGGCTGGCCCGGCCCGATCACCGGCGTATCTCGATCGGGATGACGAAGCGTCGCTGCGCGCCGGGCGGCGGCGCCGGAAACGGCGCGGCCCGTCGGATGTGGTCGACGGCCGCGCGGTCGACGGCGGCCGAGCCGGAACTGGCGGCGACAGAGACGCCGGCAAGCCCGCCGCCGCCTCCGATCGAGAAGCTGACGCGCACCGTTCCGCTCCCGCCGGCGGCACGCTGCCGGGTGCGGCGTATCTTGGCGTACACCTTGCCGGGATAGTTCGAAGCCGCCGCATTGCCGGCCTCCCGCGCCGGCTGATTGCCCTGGCTTGTATTGGCGCTACGGCCCTGCGTCGGCCCGTCGGCGCGTCCGGCCCGCGCGTTGCGATCGGCCTGCCCCTGCTCTGTGCCACGCGCCTGCTGGCGCGTCGCACGCTGCTGCTCGACACGCCTTTGCCGCTCCGCCTGGCGCTGGCGTTCGGCGGCACGGGCGGCACGCCGCTGCTCCTCGGCCCGTGCGCGATCGACATCGATCTGCCGGAACGGACGGGCCAGCGGGACCGGCAGGACCGGTTCGTCCGGCCGCGCCTCGACCACATCGCTCGTCTCCACCGGTGCCACGGCGGCGATTTCGGGCGCTTGCGCCACCGTCAACGGTTCGGCCGAATCGCTGGGCGGCGAAACCGGCGCGACGACCGATCGGGTGCTCGCCGGCGCCGGTCCGGCGCTGGCATTGTCCGTGGGCGCAATGGCCTCGGTTTCCGCATCCACCGGGCTCAGCCGGTCGCCGGCCGCGACCAGTGATTCGAAGCCCGAGCCCAGCGCGGCGGCTTGGATGACCTCGCCGCCGGTCTCGATTTCCGGTTGCGTCGAGGTGTCGATGGATGCGCCGCCGAGGTGAACCCCGACCGAGGCGGTGAGCGCAAGCATGGCCGCGCCGGCAAAGGCAGGCCCGCGCCCGCTCATGGCCCCGCCAGGCTCCGCTCGGTGACGATGAAGACGCGTTCGACCCCGAGCGCCCTGAGTTCATCGCCGATTTCGATCAGCCGCGTTGCGGACAGATAGCGGTCGGGCACCAGACGTAATTCTGCGAGCGCCGGCGCACCCACTCGCTTGAGCGCCACATACTGCGCCGGCGTCAGTGTCGCACCGCGATAGGACAGTTGCCCGTCGGCAGCGATCACCAGCGCGTCCGGCGGTTCGCGGCTGTCGAGATCGCGCGTCGAGACGAGAGCGACATCGCCATCCAGCGGCGGCGCGACCTGCGCGGCGACAAGAAAGAAGATCAGCATCAGGAAGACGATGTTGATCAGCGCGATGGCCGGCTCGGACCGCCGGCCCGCCGCATCGTGATGGTCTGTCGCCTCAATGCGCATCGCAATCGGCCCTCAACGCACGATCTGCAGCGGCGGGCCGCCCGAAGCGCCCACCGCCGCGATCACATCGACCAGTTGCTGCGATGTCGCCCCGTCGCGGACCGACAGGATGACGACATCGGCGCGTCCCGCTTCGCGCAGCACAAGGAGCCGCTCGCCCAGCTGTGACACGTCCAGCGGCTCGGCATTCAGTGACAGCCCGTCTGCATGCAATTGCAGAAAGACCGGCGTCTGGTCGGCAAGCTGCGACGCCCCTCCGCCGGTCGACAGCTCGACATCGGCGAACCGCGAAAAGGTCGCCGTCAGCATGAAAAAGAGCAGCAGCAGGAAGATGACGTCGATCAGCGACGTCAGCGAGATGCGCCGCACGCGGCCATATGCACCCGCCTCAATGCGCATTGGCGGCACTGGCCCCGATCGGCCGCTCGCCGGCCCGTTCGGCTGCGGCAGAACCGGTCCGAACCGGGTTGAAGACGGCCGTCAGCGCCTCCTCGATGGCCAGTCGGTGGCGCGCGACCCGGCTTTCGAAAAAGCTCAGGCAGATCGCCGTCGGCATCGCCACCGCAAGTCCGACGGCGGTCGTCAGCAGGGCCACCCAGATGCCGCCGGCCAGAAGCGACGGATCGACCGCATTGCCCGCGCCCTGCAATTGCCGGAACGCCTCGATCATCCCCAGGACGGTGCCGAACAGGCCGATCAGCGGCGCGATCTGGGCAATCGATTCCAGCGCCCGGAAGCCGCTCTGCAACCGCTGCAACTGCCGCGCCGCGACGATCGCGAAATGATCCTCGAGATCGCTTCGCGCGACATGGCCGCCGGTCTGCCCGGCCTGGCCCATCGCCTCGCGGACCAGTTCGGCGAGCGCCGTCTTCCGATCGGCAAGATGTGATCGCGCCGCCGCCCGATCGCCGGCCCGCCACAGGCGTACCGCCTCGTCCACATGCCGGTCGATGCCCGTGCCCAGCCGCACATATTGCGCCATCTTGTAGATCACGATGGCCAGCGCGATCACCGACAGGACCAGCAAAAGTGCGACCACCGGGCCGCCCAGAGCGATCAGACCGGCGGCGCGGTCGATCGGGTTGGCAAGGCCGAAAATCATCCCGCAATCTCCATGCCGATGCGGCTGGTTGCGTCGAGGTGTTCGATGCACTCGCCGCCGGTCAGCCCTTCGCCCTTGCATGCCGATGCCCCGTTGATCAGCACCTTGCCGATATCGGAACATTGCGTGTCGGGCAGATCGAACTGCCGCACCCGCATCTTGCCGGCCGGCACCTCGCGAAAGTCGAACAGGGTGAACCGATCGACACCGCCTTCGGTGTCGAACAGGACGGTCTCCAGCGACAGTTCCGCCAGATCGGCCCCCAGCCCGTTATGCGTCATGAAGACCAGCCGGCATGTCGCTTCGAGCTGCTCGGCCTTGTTGATCTCGATCGCAAGGGACCGGACCGGCGTCTGCCCTTCGGCCGACACCGGACCCGTCGCCGCGAGCGCGAACGCGTGCAGGAGGATCAGCTTCATCGAGAGGGCGTTGCGCATCGCCGGGGCCAGCATCTGTCTCTCCCAGAAAGTGAGTGTTCTTGCGACCGACGTTTGAAGATCCGGCCCTTGACGGGTCCCGCCGTCCGCAGGTTTTCTTGGTACCTTTCGCCGGCACCGTTATCAACGAGGCTGACGACTTCGAAGCCGAAAAGCGGACACTGTGCTCCGGTATCTTGCCACCGATCGTCAGAAGCGCCTCGTCGGATGCGATCGATGTCGGCGGCCGGTTGCGGAAGTACGCGGCGCGGCGTGACCACACCGGGCCGGAAGAGCGCCGTGCCCGCCGGTGCCGGCTTGCGCCTGTCCGCGCCCAATCCGCCGATGATGGTCAGCGGGTCCGCACAGATGAATTCGTTCTGCACCAATGCGCCGAACCGCATCGTCGCGGAGTCGAGGCCCGGCCATGAGACCGGCGCCCAGCGGGATTCGTGGCACGACCTCGTGCCGCAAGCCCGCGGCGGCCGCCCTTGACATCCAAAAGGGAATGCAACATCATTCGTAATTGCGAAATATATTCCATTATAAGGGAGGTCTAGAATGTCGATTTCGCGCACTTGGATGACTTCGGCGGCGGCAATCGCTATCGGACTGTCCGCTTATTCCGTGCCCGCCTGGGCCGACAACACGCTGGACGTGGCAATCATCGGCGAAGCGGACACGCTGGACCCGATGCTGTCGACCAAGGATGTGGTCTCGATCGTCACCCAGCATTTCGTCGAAACGCTCTACACGTTCGACGCCAACTGGAACGTCGCGCCGCTGCTGGCGGTCGATCTTCCCGAAATCTCCGACGACGGCCGGACGTACCGGATCGCATTGCGCCAGGGCATCACCTTCCATGACGGCTCGTCGATGGATTCGGCCGACGTGGTCGCCTCGCTGCAGCGCTGGACCGAAATGGCCTCGCGCGGAAAGGCTGTCGCCGACCGCATCGAGGCCATCGAGGCGATCGACGCCAACACCGTCGAAATCCGGATGACGGAGCCCTACTCGCCGCTTCTGTCGCTGCTCGCCTTCTCCAACTCGGCCGCCGCCATCTACCCCGAAGAGGTGCTGGGCGAAGCGCTCAGCGCCATCGTGGGCACCGGCCCCTACAAGATCATCGAACATGTGCCGGATCAGTATCTGCAGCTGGGCCGGTTCGAGGGCTACCAAGCCCGCGACGAGGAGCCGAACGGCCCCGCCGGCGGCCGTCTGCAGCTTGCCGACGAGATCCGCTTCATCCCCGTGCCCGATCCGAACACGCGCGTGGAGGGTCTCCTGTCCGGCCAGTATGACTTCGCCGACGGCCTGCCCGCCGAATCCTATGCCCGCATCGACGAAAGCGATGCGGCAGAGCCGGTTCTGCTGCGCCCGTTCGGCTGGCCGATTTTCGCCATCAACCACAAGGACGGGCTGCTGACCGATCTCAATGTGCGCAAGGCATTGCAGGCCGCCCTGCCCCACGACGACATGATGTTCGCCGCCTTCGGCGACGACAATTTCTTCATCGTCGACGCGCCCATGTATCCGGAGGGATGGACGTGGCGCAACGATGCCGGCACCGAGCTCTACAACCAGAACGACCAGGCCCGGGCGGCCGAACTGCTCGATGCCGCCGGTTATGAAGGCACCCCGCTGCGCATCCTGACCTCGCGCCAGTACGAGTTCCACTTCAAGATGGCCGAGGTTGCCAAGATGGCGCTCGAAGCGGCCGGCTTTGCCGTTCAGATGGATGTCGTCGACTGGGCAACGCTCGGCCAGCGCCGCAACGATCCGGCGCTCTGGGACATCTACATCACTCACTCGCCGTTCCTCCCCGAGCCGGCTCTGACCAGCCTCTATTCCGCCACCTCGCGGCTGGGCTGGGCAGAGCCGGACAAGGAGGCGACGCTGGCGGCCTTCACCACGGCCACCGACCAGGCCGAGCGCGAGGCGCTGTTCGCCGATCTCCAGAAGGCGGTGTTCGAGGATGTCGGCTTCATCAAGATCGGCGGCTTCAACGCGCTGCAGGGCCAGCGTGCAGGCATGACCGGCGTCAACCCCTCGCCCTGGCCCTATTTCTGGAACGCCAAGGCCGAGTAGGATCGCATCCGTGGGAGGCGGCCTGCTGCGGGCCTCGATGGTCCGCAGCTTACAGAGTGTGATGCAGTGACCCGGTACATCGTTCAACGCATGGTCGGCATGCTGGTGGTCGTCCTTCTGGTCCTGACCATCGCGTTCGTTATCGTCCGGCTGGCGCCCGGCGATCCCGCCGCGCTCATGCTCGGTCCCGAAGCGACACCGGCCGAAGCGGCCGAACTGCGCGAGCGGCTGGGTCTGAACGAACCGATCCCCATCCAGTATCTGAGCTTTGTCGGCAACGCCTTGCGCGGCGATCTGGGCACGTCGATCTTCTTCAACCAGCCGGTCACCCGGGTGCTGCTCGCCCGTGCGGAGCCCACTGTCTATCTGGCGCTTTTCTCGCTGATCATCGCGCTGATCATCGCCGTGCCGATCGGCATTTATGCCGCCTACCGGCGCGGGTCCTGGCTGGACCAGACCGCCATTTCGACGGCCATGCTCGCCGCCTCGGTGCCCAGCTTCTGGACCGGCCTGATGTTCCAGCGTTATCTGGCGACCGAACTGGGCTGGTTTCCGGCGGCCGGCTATGGCGGCCCCGATGCCGACTTCTGGGTCCGCATGGGCCATCTCGTGCTGCCGTCGATCGTTCTGGGGATCGTCAATTCCGCGCTGATCCTGCGCTTCACGCGTGCCTCCATGCTCGACGTTCTGGGCGAGGACTATGTGCGCACGGCCCGGTCCAAGGGCATGACGGAATGGCGCGTCGTTCTGCGGCACGCGCTCAAGAACGCGGCCATACCGATCATCACCGTCATCGGTCTGACATTCGCCCTTCTGGTATCCGGCGCGGTCGTCACCGAACGTGTGTTCAACATTCCCGGAATGGGCAATCTGGTGGTCAGCGCCGTGCTGCGGCGCGACTATCCGGTCATCCAGGGCACACTGATCGTCGTGGCGACGCTCTATGTGTTCATCAATCTTCTGACGGACCTGCTCTATCTGCTCGTCGACAAGCGGGTGAGGTACTGATCGATGTCCGCATCCGCGCTTGCCGACGAACCCGGTTTCCTCGAAGCGCTGTTTGCGCGGCGCGCCGTGCTCGTCTCGCTGATCGTGTTTCTTGTCATCCTCGCCGCCGTGATCCTGGCACCGCTGATCGCGCCGGCCGACCCGTCCGCGATGAGCGTACGCAACCGGCTGGCCGCGCCCGGCGGCGACTACTGGCTCGGCTCCGACGCGTTCGGCCGCGATGTCCTGTCGCGCCTTCTCTATGCCGGCCAGGTCTCGCTGACGATCGGCTGCGGCGTGGCGCTTGTCGCCTCGGTCGTCGGCATCGTCTTCGGGCTGGTCGCCGGCTTCTTCCGGCGGCTGGACGGTCCGGTCTCGCGCATCGTCGACGCGATGATGGCGTTTCCCGACATTCTGCTGGCGATCGCGCTGGTGGCGATTCTGGGCGGATCGATGATCAACGTCATCATCGCCCTTTCGATCGTCTATGCGCCGCGGATCGCGCGCATCGTCCGCGCATCGACCCTGGTCATCCGGGAGTTGCCCTTTGTCGAGGCCGCGCAGGCGCTCGGCAGTTCCACCGGCTTCATCATGATCAACCATGTGCTGCGCAACATCGTCTCGCCGATCATCGTCCAGGCGACCTTCATCTTCGCCTATGCGATGCTGGCCGAAGCCGGCCTGTCCTTCCTGGGCGTCGGTGTCGATCCCTCGACCCCGACATGGGGCACCATGATCAATGAGGGGCGGCAATATATCGACCAGGCCGCTTTCCTGATCTTCTTTCCCGGCATTGCGATTTCCGTCTCGGTCCTGTGCCTGCAACTGATCGGCGATGGCCTGCGCGATGCGCTCGATCCCCGGATCGCAAAGGAACTCTGAAATGGCGCTTACCCTGACCAATTTCGAGGCCGTCGGCTTTGACGGCACCGCGCCCCCAACGATCGCGATATCCGACGATGGCACGATCGCCCGCGATGCGCTGCCCGGCGCCGAAACGATCGATTGCAAGGGTGCCCGCCTGTCGCCGGGATGGACCGATCTTCACGTCCATGTCTGGCATGGCGGGACCGATATCTCCGTGCGGGCCAGCCAGGCCGGCCGCGCAACGGGCGTCACCGCCATGGCCGATGCGGGCTCGGCGGGCGAAGCCAATTTTCACGGCTTGCGCGAATATGTCATCGAACCGCATACCGAGACGATCAAGGCGTTCCTGAACATCGGCTCGATCGGGCTTGTCGCCTGCAACCGCGTCTCCGAACTGATCGACATGCGCTCGATCGACATCGACCGGACGCTTGAGGTCATCGAGGCCAACCGCGACGTGGTCTGCGGCATCAAGGTGCGCGCCAGCGGCGTCATCGTCGGCACCTGGGGCATCACGCCGGCCAGGATAGCAAAGCGCGTCGCCGAGATCGCCGGGCTGCCCGTCATGGTCCATATCGGCGAGCCGCCGCCGCTGATCGACGAGATTTTCGACATCTTGACCCCCGGCGACATCGTCACCCACTGCTTCAACGGCAAGAAGGCCGGTTCCGTGCTCGACACGCCGCAGGTCTATGCCAAAGCCAGGGATCTGGCCCGGCGCGGCGTTCTGATGGACATCGGCCATGGCGTCGCCTCGTTCGACTTCGGCGTCGCGCGGCGGGCCGTCGCCGACGGCTTTCTTCCGTTTTCGATTTCGACCGATCTGCATCTGCGCAACATTGGCGGTCCGGTGCACGACATGGCGACGACACTGTCCAAGATGCTGGCCATCGGCCTGCCGCTCGAAGCATGCATCGACGCCGTCGCCGCCAGCCCGCGCGGCTTTCTGGGCCTTTCCGCCAGCGACGGACTGGCCCCCGGAAACAAGGCCGACTTCACGATCTTCGACATTGTCGACGGCGAACTCGACGCCGTCGACAGCCAGGGCAATCACCTGACCGTCGATCGGGTCTTCGAGCCGCGATGGACCGTCCTTGGAGCGTCGGTCGAGCCGGCCGCGCGCCGTGTGCCGCATGAGGAGAGCCCCGAATGAGCGGCGACACCATCCTCAAGGTCAGCGATCTGCGCGTCGAGTTTGCCGGCCGGCGCAGCAGCACCGCGGCGGTCCGAGATGTCAGCTTTTCGCTCGGCACCGGCAAGACGCTTGCCCTTGTCGGCGAGTCGGGCTCGGGCAAGTCGGTCACGTCGCTGGCCATCATGGGGCTGTTGCCGCGCGCGGGGCGGATCGCCAGGGGCACCGTCCGCTATCGCGGCCGCGATCGCGAAGCGGTCGATCTGGCCAGGCTTTCCGAAAAAGCGATGCGCCGCATGCGCGGCGCCGAAATCGCCATGATCTTCCAGGAGCCGATGTCCTCGCTCAATCCGCTGTTCACCATCGGCGACCAGATCGGAGAGATGCTGAAGCTGCACGGCGATCCGGGCCCGGCCGAGCGGCGAAAGCGCGTTCTGGAGATGCTCGAACTGGTGGAGATTCCGGCCGCCGCCCGCCGCATCGACAACTATCCGCACGAACTGTCGGGCGGCATGCGCCAGCGCGTGATGATCGCGCTCGCCATGATCTGCCAGCCGGCGCTTCTGATCGCCGACGAACCAACCACCGCGCTCGATGTCACCATCCAGGCGCAGATTCTCGACCTGATGCGCCGGCTGCAGGGCGAACTGGGCATGTCCATCCTGTTCATCACCCACGACATGGGGGTCGTTGCCGAGATGGCCGACGATGTGGCGGTGATGTATTCGGGCGAAATTGTCGAACAATCGGCCACCCGCCCGCTTTTCGCACGGCCTTCACATCCCTATACGCAGGGTCTCCTCGCCTCGATCCCGCAGCCCGGCCGGCCCGAGGGCGAACGGCTGGTGCCGATCCCCGGCACGGTGCCGCCGCCGCATTCCATGCCGCCCGGTTGTGCCTTTTCCCCGCGCTGCCGCTACGCAAGCCAACGCTGCGAGGTCCCGGTCGCGCTGGTCGAGGCCCGCGCGGGGCACATGGCGCGCTGCATCAAGACAGCGGAGATCGCCGCCCATGCATGAGACCGCCGCCGCACCGCCGCTGATCTCCATCCGGAACCTGTCCAAGCGGTTCGAGACGCCGCGCGGCACGGTTCATGCGGTGCGCGATGTCAGCTTCGACATTCCGCGCGGTTCGATCACCGGGCTGGTCGGCGAGTCCGGCTCGGGCAAGACGACGCTCGGCCGCGCCCTGCTCCGGCTGATCGAGCCGTCGGACGGACAGACCTTTTTCGACGGCATCGATCTGAACACGCTCGGTGCCGGCGCCATGCGCGCCATGCGGCGCCGCATGCAGATCATCTTTCAGGACCCCGTCTCCTCGCTCAATCCGCGCATGCGCGTGCACGAGATCATCGGCGAGGGCCTGCGGGCGCACGGGCTGGGCGATCGCCGCAAGCGGCGCGACATGGTCGCCGGCCTTTTGGCGGAAGTGGGCCTGCAGCCCGATCACATGTCGCGCTATCCGCACGAGTTCTCCGGCGGCCAGCGCCAACGGATCGGCATCGCGCGTGCGCTCGCGCTGGAACCGGAATTCATCGTCGCCGACGAAAGCGTGTCGGCGCTGGATGTGTCGATCCAGGCCCAGGTGCTCAACCTGCTTCTCGAAATCCGCGACAAGCGCAATCTGACGATGCTGTTCATCGCGCACGATCTGTCGGTGGTGGAATATCTGTGCGACAAGATCGTGGTCATGTATCTGGGCCGCGCCGTCGAAATCGGCGATGCCGGACCGGTCTATCGCGCCCCCGCACACCCTTACACACGCGCGCTGCTGTCGGCCATTCCCATTCCGGACCCCGAACGACAGGCGAACCGCGAGATACTGGCCGGCGACATTCCCAGTCCGCTGTCACCGCCATCGGGCTGCGTCTTCCGCACACGATGCGCGCACGCGCTGGAGACCTGCGCACGGGGCGAGCCCGGCGCCCATGCCGTCTCGGCCAACCATACCGCCTTCTGCAAGAGAATAGAGGAGCTTGCATGACCCAGACCCGGCTCATTGAAACGCCCCAGACGCGGCTTGCCATGCTTGGCCATGCATTGCCGGTGCGGGCGCCCGCGCCGGTGGGCGCGTTCGACAATGCCCGGCGCCATGGCGATCTGCTTTTTGTTTCCGGCCAGGGACCGGTGCGCGAGGACGGTTCGCTCGCACACGGCAAGGTCGGTCTCGACGTATCGGCCGAAGAGGCGCGCGCGCATGCCGAACTGGTGACGCTGAACCTTCTGGCCGTCGTCAACGACAAGCTGGGCGGGCTCGACGGTGTCGGCGCCGTCGTCAAGCTGGTCGGCCTTGTCAACGCCACGCCGGATTTCGAACGGCATCCGTTCGTCATCGACGGCGCTTCGGAACTGCTGCATGCGGTCTTCGGTGCCGACGGCGTGCATGCGCGCACATCCTACGGCGTTGCGTCATTGCCCAACAAGATCACCGTGGAGATCGACGCGATCTTCGCGGTGCGACCGGAATGGGGTTGACCTCTTCCCAGCCTGACGTTTTCGGCGCGGCGCCCTCAGGCCGCCTTCTGGCCCAGCGCGCGCTCCACGGCAAGGGCCGCGTCCTGGACGGCATGCGCCAGTTCGGCGCCCCGTGCCCGCGCCTGACGCTCCGACAGGACGACCGAGATCGTCGCCGTGCAGGCACCGGTTTCATCGCGGATCGGCGCGGCGATGCAGGCGACCGAAAACTCCGAGCTGCTCATCTGGATCGAAAGCCGGTTGACGAAGTCGGCGCGCGATTGTGCGGCCAGCTTGTCCGGATCGGTTTCCGCCGTGCCCGTGTGGGAGGGCTTGGCACAATCAGCAAAGGCCGCGCGCCGTTCATCGTCGGGCAGGTGGCCCAGCAGCAGGCGGCCGGACGCGGTCCAGTTCAGCGGCACGCGGGTGCCGACATTGGAGGCGACGCGGAAATGGCCCTCGCCTTCGGCCATGCCGATGACGACCATCATGCCCTCGTCGCGGGCGCAGATCTGGACCGTCTCCCCCGTCGCCTGCGACAGGCGCTGCATTTCGCGCTTGGCCTCGGCAAACATGTCCATGCGGGCGCGATAGACAAGCCCGTAGCGCATCAGTCGCGGCCCGAGCCAGACCCGGCTTTCGTCCGACCGGGACAGCACGTCCCGTTCGACCAGTTCGTCGACGATCCGGTAGATGGTCGAGGCGGGCGCGCCGGCCGACTTCGCCAGATCGTAGGCGCTCATGGGCTCCTGGCGTTCGGTCAGAATATCCATCACCTGAAGCGCACGGTCGATGCCGCTGGTGCGCTTGCGTTTTTCGTCGGACATGGGCTGTTGCTCCGGCTTCGCTTTTTCTTCCACTATTATGGAAACCGTTCCCAAAGCACAAGGCACGCGACATGACGACACCGACTGCGCAGGCCCCCGATCGGGCCTTCTACACAAGCCGCGGCCTCACCCCCGTGATCAACGTGTCCGGGACGATGACCGCGCTCGGTGCCTCGATCGCCGGCAAGCCCGTGCGCGACGCGACCGCCGAAATCATGGCCCATTTCGTCAACATGCACCAGTTGCAGGCGCGCGCCAGCCGCACCATCGCTATGGCGACCGGCGCGGAGGCCGGCTGCATGACCGCATCGGCCAGCGCCGGCATCACCCTGTCGGTCGCCGCATGCATGACGGGGGTCGATCCGGCGCGCGCCGAGGCGCTGCCGAAGCGTCCGGGAGAAAAGAACGAGGTCGTCATCCAGCTGGGGCACATGTGCGGCTATGGCGCGCCGGTCTCACAGGCCATCGAACTGGCCGGCGCCACCGTCTGCCCGGTCGGCCAGTCGACGCTGGTCATGGATCATCAGCTCGAGGGCGCTTTGACCGAGAAGACGGCGGCGGCGGTCTATGTGGTCTCCCATCACGTCGTCCACTACGGCCAGATGCCGCTCGAGCCTTTTGTCCGGATCTGCGCGGCCAGGGGCGTGCCGGTGATCGTCGATGCGGCGTCCGAATACGACCTGCGCGGCTTTCTGGCGGCCGGCGCCGACATGGCGGTCTATTCGGGCCACAAGTTTCTGGGCGGGCCGACCTCGGGCATCATCGCCGGCCGCCGCGATCTTGTCCGCGCCGCCTATCTTCAGAACATCGGCATCGGACGCGGCATGAAGATTGGCAAGGAGAGCATTGCCGGCGCGATCGCAGCCCTGGAGGCATGGCAGACGCGCGATCATGCCGGCATCCGCGCCGGCGAGCGCGCCGCGCTCGACCTGTGGCATTCGACGCTCACCGGTTTCGACGGCGTCGATCCGAAGATCGTCCCCGATCCGACCGGCAATCCGCTGGACCGGCTTCAGGTGGAGATCGACGCGAGGCGGCTCGGCGCGAGCGCGGCGACGCTGGCACGCGTGCTCGCCGAACGGAACCCGGCGATCGTCGTCCGCAATCACGAGGTCGAACTGGGTTACTTCCAGCTCGATCCGTGCAATCTGAAGCTCGGCCAGGCCGAACAGGTGGCCGCCGCGCTGACCGATGTTTTTGCACGTGCCGCGCAATGGGAAGCCCGGCCCGGCGATTTCGATGCGGCGCGCAATGGCGGCGTCGACGGTTACTTGAACTGGCCGGCCTAATAGCGGCGATTGCGCGACAATGACTGGCGCAAGATGGCCGGCCGGCGGCCGCGTCGGCTTGCAGGCGGGCCTTTGGGCCATGTGGCGCGAGCCATCCGCCTTAATGGAAGTCCCGGCTCTTGGGGATGATGCGCACATCGCGCGGATGACGGTCGCGGCCGGGCGCCGGGCCGCCCTTGACGCTGTCGCCCCTGGCAAATTGCGGGCGGATCACCTCGTCGGCGGGCGAAAGCGCGATGGTCGGCGTATGCGCATCCGACAGCCTGTTGAGTTCAAGGGTGCGGTCCAGAATGGATGTGGCGATCAGATGGATGACGCCTTCCTTGCTCTTTTGGACATGACCGCACGCGACCGCCAGCTTGGCGCCCATGATGGCCCGGCGGAAACGCTCGAACCGGCGCGCCCAGACCAGCACGTTGACGATGCCGGTCTCGTCCTCGAGCGTCATGAAGATGGCATTGCCCTTGCCCGGCCGCTGCCGGATCAGCACGACGCCGGCGGTCCTGATCCATTTGCCGTCCGGCATGTCTGCGACCTGCTGCGATGACAGGATCCTGTCGGCCGCAAAGACCGGCCTGAGCAGCGCCATCGGATGGCTTTTCAGGGAAAGCCGGGTGGTCTGGTAATCGGCCACCACATGTTCGGCCAGCTTCATCGCAGGCAGGGCGGCGTCCGGCTCGGCGGACAGTTCGTCGCGCCGCGCCGCCTCGAACAGCGGCAGCGGCACATCGTCCGGTAGCCGCCGCACCGCCCACAGCGCATCGCGGCGGTCGAGCCCGATCGAGCGGAACGCATCGGCATCGGCGAGGATTTTCAGCGCCCGCTTTTCGAGCCGTGCGCGCCGCCAGACCATTTCGGCGCTGTCGAAACCCGCGCCGCGCACGGCGGCGATCCGGTCGGCCCAGTCCTCGTGGAACCCGTCGATCTGGCGAAAGCCGAGCCGCAGCGCCAGCGCGCCGTCTTGCGCCCTTTCGAGCGTGTTGTCCCATTGGCTGCGATTGATGTCGGCGGCGCGAACCTCAATGCCGTTCTCCTGCGCGTCGCGCACGATCTGGGCCGGCGCGTAAAAGCCCATGGGCTGGGCGTTGAGCAGGCCGCAGGCGAACACCGCCGGCTCGTGATGCTTGATCCAGGACGAGATGTAGACGAGCTTGGCGAACGAAGCGGCATGGCTTTCGGGAAAGCCATATTCGCCGAACCCCTTGATCTGGTTGAAGCAGCGTTCGGCGAACTCGCGCTCATAGCCGCGCTCCACCATCCGCTCGACCATCAGATCCTCGAAATTCTGGATCGTGCCGACATGGCGGAAGGTGGCCATGGCCCGGCGCAGCCCATTGGCCTCTTCGGGCGAAAAGCGCGCCGCGACCATGGCGATCTTCATCGCCTGCTCCTGGAACAGCGGCACGCCCTTGGTCCGGTCGAGCACCTTGCGCAACTCATCGGGCGGGCCGTGCTCCGGAGACGGCGCGGGATAGACGACGTCTTCCTCGCCATTGCGGCGGCGCAAATAGGGATGGACCATGTCGCCCTGGATCGGACCGGGCCGCACGATCGCCACCTGGATGACGAGATCGTAGAACTCTTTCGGCTTCAGCCGCGGCAGCATGTTGATCTGCGCCCGGCTTTCCACCTGGAAGACGCCGATGGACTCGCCCCTTTGCAGCATGGCGTAGACATCCTGGTCATCGGGCGGAAAATCGGCGAGGGAAAGATCCCGGCCGCAATGATCACGCATCAGGTCCATGCATTTGCGGATGCAGGTCAGCATGCCCAGGCCCAGCACGTCGACCTTCATCAGGCCGAGTGCGTCGATATCGTCCTTGTCCCATTCGATAAAGGTGCGCTCGTCCATCGCCGCATTGCCGATCGGCACGATGTCGTCGAGCCGGTCGCGCGTCAGGACGAACCCGCCCACATGCTGGGACAGGTGCCGCGGAAAGCCGAGCAGTTGCGTGGCAAGATCGATGGCGCGTCCGATGACGGGATTGTCCGGATCAATGCCGGCTTCGCGCACATGCTTCTTGGCGATCTCGGTGCCCCAGCTGCCCCAGATCGTGCTTGCAAGGCGCGCCGTCACATCCTCGGTCAGGCCCAGCGCCTTGCCCACCTCGCGAATGGCGCTGCGCGGCCGGTAGCTGATGACGGTGGCGGCAATGCCCGCCCGCTCGCGGCCATAACGCTGATAGATGTGCTGGATCACCTCCTCGCGCCGCTCATGCTCGAAATCGACATCGATGTCGGGCGGTTCCTTGCGCTCGGACGAGATGAAACGGGCAAACAGGAGATCATGCTCGGCCGGATCGACCGCGGTGATGCCGAGCACGTAGCAGACCGCCGAATTGGCCGCCGAGCCGCGCCCCTGGCACAAAATGCCCTGATCGTCGGCAAAGCGCACAATGTCATGGATGGTCAGGAAATATTGCGCGTAATCGAGCTCGGCGATCAGCGCCAGCTCCTGTTCGAGCAGGCCGGCGACCTTGTCCGGTATGCCGTCCGGATAGCAAAAGGGCGCGCGCCGCCAGACCAGTTCCTCGAGCCATTGCTGCGGCGATTTGCCGGGCGGGATCGGCTCTTCGGGATACTGGTAGGTCAGCTGGTCGAGCGAGAAATCGATGCGCGCCAGAAAATCGACCGTCTCTGCAACCGCCTCGGGCACATCGCGGAACAGCCGGGCCACTTCGTCCGGTGTCTTCAGATGGCGTTCGGCATTGGCCTGCAGCCGATAGCCGGCATTGTCCAGCGTACAGCCCTCGCGGATGCAGGTGACGACATCCTGCAGCGGGCGCTGCCCCGGATCGTGATAGAGCGCATCGCCCACCGCGATCAGCGGGATGCCGCTCCGGCCGGCGATCGCCTTGAGACACAAAAGCCGCCTGCGATCGTCGCCGCGACAGGCCATGGATGCGGCCAGCCACACCGCGCCGGGCGCGTGCGCGGAAATCCTTGAGAGGCTTCGAACCAGATCATCGGTGCGGTCGGGCGGCATGACGATCAAAAGAAGGTCGCCGCAATGGCGCAGAAGATCGGCCTCGTGGATCAGGCAGCCGCCCTTTTCGGCACGGCGCTTGCCGAGCGTCAGAAGCCGGCACAGCCGGCCCCATCCGGCACGGTTTTCCGGATAGGCGATGATGTCGGGCGTATCATCGGCGAAGACCAGCCGCGCGCCCACCACATAGCGCAGCGGCAATTGCGCATCCTCGCCATGCACGTCCCGCCATGCCTTGCACGCGTCCCTGTAGGTGCTGTGGCCGCGCACGACGCCGGCCACCGTGTTGCGGTCGGCGATGCCGATGCCCGCAAGGCCCAGTTCGAGCGCGCGCATCACGAAATCGCCCGGATGCGACGCGCCCCGCAAAAACGAGAAATTGGTCGATACCGCCAGTTCCGCATATCGGTTCATGCGAACAGCCCGTGCATGAACCAGCGGGGATGGTGCGGCAATTCCTCGTAAAGACCGTGACGGAAAATCCAGAAGCGGCGGCCATGGCTGTCCTCGACGCAATAATAATCGCGCGTCCTGCTGCCTTCGTCGCCGCGCCACCATTCTGGCGCGATCCGCTCCGGCCCTTCGGCGCGCGCGATCTCGTGCAGCACGCGCCGCCAACGGAACCTGAGCGGCGGCCCGTCCGGGATCTCGGCCAGCGCCTCGATCGGCTGGGGCTGGGCGAACAGATGCACCGGACGCATGGGACGCGCATCGGCCGGAGCCATTTGCCAGTGCGTGGCTTGGGCGGCCGCATGCCCGGCAGGCATGGCACGCACGGCCTCTTCGGGGATATGGGTTTCGGCGGGAACAAACTGCGTCACCGCATGCCGGCCGAACCGGGTGCTCAGCCGGTCGATCAGCGCCGTTACGTCCTCATCCTCGACCTGACGGCCGTCCAGCGTGTGCTGGGCCGTTTCCAGAGCCGCCGACACCGGCACCGACAGCCGGATCAAATCATAGCCGTAGCCGGGATCGAGGGGATCGCCGAGCGTGTCGATCCGTTCCCGGAAAAGCCGCGTGACGACCTCGGGCGCCCGGACCGGTCGCGCCGTCTCGATCGTCAGCCGGCTGACCGTGCCATCGGTACGGAACAGCGCCGCATCGAAGCGCCGCCCGCCATGCCCGCGCTTTTCCAGACTGTCGGCGGCGTGGCCCGCGAGCGCTTCGAGCGTCGCCAGCACATCGCCTGTCTGTGTCAGCGGTTCGGCGAAGCGGCGCTCGGCGCTGCAGACCGGCACAGGCCGGCGCGGCGCGATCGCAATGTTCTCGCCGCCCTGAAGCCTGACGAGGCGTGCCGCCAGCGCCGCGCCGAAACGCGCGACCAGCGGTTTGTGCGGTCGGCATGCCAGATCGCCGACCGTCTTCAGCCCGGCGCGCAGCAATGCCGTCATGGTCTCGGCGCCCGCCTCGAGCGCGGCCACGGGCAATGGCGCGACGGCCGCGGCCTCCCCGCCCGGTGCGACGATCACATGTGGCTGGCCGAAGCGCGCCAGCGCACGCGCCGCCTGCGGCGTGCCGGCAAGGGCCGTGCGCACCTGCGTTGTCCCGTGCGACAGGCGCGCGACGAGATCGTCGAGCAAGCCCTTTTCGCCGCCGAACAGATGGGCGCAGCCGGTGATGTCCAGAACCAGCCCGTCGGGCGCATCGAGTGCCGTCATCGGCGTGTAGCGGTCGCAGAAATCGGCGATCCGTTCGAGCCACGCCGCATCGGCCGCATGGTCCATTTCGACGGCGGCAAGCTGCGGCACCCGCGCCCGCGCATCGGCCAGGGTGAGCCCCGGCGTCAAACCGATGTCCATGGCTTTCCGGTCGACCCGCACGACGCGCAGCGCATTGTTGTGCTTTTCGGTGAAGCACAGGCACGCGTCAGCCTGTGCGTGCGAGCCGTTCGACTGGCGCCGGAACCGGTCGCTTGTCAGGAACGGCAGCCACACTGCCAGATACCGTCGCGGCATGCCGGAAACGCTTTCGTTCATGATCCCACTCCAGATGCCAGCGCTGGCCGGATGCGCCGGCGCGGTTGCGCAACAAGGTGATGTCGAAGGCCGGTCTGCCCGGCGCATTGGCGGCCAGCGCACGGGACGGCGCCGCCGCAACCTGCCAGCGTGTCTGCGCAACGCTCGGACCCGGCTCGGCGGCAAGCCGCATGAGGAGCGGTGTCGTGCCCGATGCTTCGGCGGCAAGCGCAAGCCGGCGCGTCGCCGTCAGATCGAGGCTCCTGGGCATGCCCCAGAGTTCGATCAGGACCGCGCCCAGCGCCGCGCAGCGCACCGCCTCCAGTGCGGCGCGCAACCCGTCCTCGGGCCGCCGCGCCCGCACATGGATGATATGGGCCGGATCGAGCCCCAGCGCCGCGAGCCCCGGCATGAACAAAGGGCCGGCCTCGGTTTCCGAAAAACCCTGGCGGATCCAGACGATCCTGCCCGCATCGCCTGAAATGCATTGCGCCAGGCCGGCGCAAAAACCCGTCAGCGCCGCCGCGTCCGCCGCTTGCGCCGCAAACATTTCGTGCAGGGCGCCGCGCGCCAGCGCGCTGCCCAGCGCCGCGTCGGCCCTTTCCGCCCCCAGCGTCACAAAGCCTTGCTGGTCCGTCGGCTTCTGCATGGGCGCCAGGGCCGTGATCTGACGCTGCAATTCGATCAGTGTCGGTTGCATGAAAATCCACAATGTTCACTTTTTGTTCTTATTACATGACAACCCTTCGCCAGAGTCAATTCACAAGGCGGATCGTCGATGCTCGGACATCCGGCCAGCCCGTCCGTACACGGATGCCCGGTGCCGGACGGAGATGGTCCGGACCATGCCTCCATCAATTCAGAGCACGGCCGATTGGACGCCGGACACCCTGCGACAATCGCGCCGGAACCGGACCGGCTTCTTGTTCGTTGGCGGCCTGACGCAGCATTCGGGAGCACACTCATGGCGGACATCAAGGTCGGCGACACGGTCACATGGTCCTGGGGCGACGGCACGGCCAAAGGCTCCGTGACCGAACGGTTCACCGACAAGGTGACGCGGACGCTGAAAGGCACCGAGGTCACACGAAATGCCAGCGACGAGGATCCGGCGTTCCTGATCGAACAGGACGATGGCGACCAGGTGCTCAAATCGGGCAGCGAACTCGACCATGCCGACGGCTGACGACGCGCCGCCGCCCGGCCTCGTCTATTATCCCGACAGCAGGCCCGGCATTCGCCGCAAGCAGCACGGGCGCGGCTTCACCTATCTGGCGGCCGACGGCACGCGGATCGACTGCGCGCGCGAACGGGCGCGCCTGAAGGCCCTCGCGGTTCCGCCCGCCTATGAGGATGTTTGGATGTCGCCGCTCGCCAACGGCCATCTGCAGGCGACCGGCCGCGACGCGCGCCGCCGCAAGCAATATCGCTATCATCCCGACTGGACCAAAGCCCGCTCCGACGGCAAGTTCGACCAACTGGCAACGTTCGGAGCAACCCTGCCCGCGCTGCGCCGCTGGATCGCCGACCGCCTGACCGGCGAGGTCGGCGACCTTGAAACGGCGGTCGCCGCTGTCCTGGCGCTGATCGACCGCGGCGCCCTGCGCGTCGGCGATCCCGGCTACACCGCCGACAATGGCAGCTTCGGCGCAACGACGCTGCGCAACCGGCATGTCCGGTTCGACGGCACGCGTGTGCATCTCGACTTCGTCGCCAAGGGCGGCAAGCGCGTGCACCAGACGGTGGTCGGCGCGCAATTGCAGCGCGTCCTGCAGCGCAGCCGCGACCTGCCCGGCAGCGAACTGGTCACATGGCTCGCCGATGACGGCACGCCGCGCATTGTCCGCTCGGAGCATCTGGGCGACGTGCTTGCGCGCATCTGCGGCGATGGCACCACCGCCAAGAGCTTGCGCACCTGGCACGGCACCCATGCCGCCTTCATGGCCGCCACGAAACCCGAACCGCTGACCATCCGGATCATGAGCGAAGCGGCGGCCGAACGGCTGAACAACACGCCGTCCATCGCGCGAACGAGCTACATCCATCCGGCGATCATCGCGCTCGCCGAACTGTCAGACGACGAACGCGCGACGCGGCTGGATGCTCTGGGCGACGACACGCGCGACGGCCTGCGCCGGGGCGAGGCTGCGCTGCTCGCCTGTCTGCGAGAGGCGGCCTGACAGGCCGCGTCAGACACAAAACCCTTCGAGCACGTTGATCGTGTTGATGCCGACCTCCTCGACCGCATAGCCGCCCTCCATCAGGAACAATGTCGGCAGGCCGAGCGCGGCGATGTCGGCCCCCATCGTCGAAAAGTCATTCGATGTCAGCTTGAAGAAGCTGATCGGGTCCTTTTCGAACGTATCGACGCCCAGCGAGACGATGACGAGGCCGGGATCGAAACGCGCGATGCGCTCCATCGCCTTGCCGAGCGCGGCGCGCCAGACATCGAACCCGGTTCCCGGCGGCATGGGCAGGTTGAGGTTGAAGCCCTCGCCGGCGCCGCTGCCCGTCTCGTCGGCAAAGCCAAGGAAATGCGGAAACGCCTGATCGGGGTCGCCATGCAGCGAAATGAACAGCACATCGTCGCGGTCGTAGAAGATCTCCTGCGTGCCGTTGCCATGGTGAAAGTCGACATCGAGGATCGCGACCCGTTCGATGCCCTTGTCGCGCGCATGCTGCGCGGCGATCGCCGCATTGTTGAAGAAGCAGTAACCGCCATACTGGTCGGTCGCCGCATGGTGGCCCGGCGGACGGCACAGGCCGAACGCCGTGCGTGCGCCGCCGATCACAAGGTCGGCCGACGTCAGCGCCACGTCCTTGGACGCCAGCGCCGCCTCCCATGTGCCGTCCGAGATCGAGGTCTCCGACGCAAGGCAATAATAGCCCAGCTGCGCTTCGAAATGGGCCGGGATGCGATCCGGGCGCATGGTGCGCGCCGGCCAGACCGTCACGATCGCCTCTCCCTGATGGCCGAGCGCGCTCCAGTTGGCCCAAGCGTTTTCCAGAAACGCCGCATAACCCGCATCGTGCACCGCGAGCACCGGCGCCATGCCGTGCGCGCGCGGCGGCACGATGGCGCCGAAGCCGCGCTTTTCCGCGTCGGCCAGAATGAAGTCGATCCGCTCGGGACACTCGAACGGCGGCACCAGCTGTCCGCCATAGAGTTCGGTCCTGGCGCTGCGTTTGCGGTGCTCTTCGGTGTAGACGATCTTCATTGATGGGTGTCCGTTGCGGTGGTTGATCGGTTCCGGCCCGCCGGCCGGGAGATGATGGCGCGCAGCCCGCCGACCCCGCCGGCGATGCCTTTGGGCAGGAAGACGACGAACAGGACGATCGAAAGACCCAGGACGATCGACCGCGCGTCGCCCAGTTCCTTGGCGAATTCGACGACGATCATCATCACGCCGGCGCCGACCAGCGGTCCCCATGTCGATCCCAGCCCGCCGACGATCACCATGGCGAGCACGAACATCAGCGTCGAGAACTCGAACAGGGAGGGACCGGCGAAGCGGAAATGGCCGGCATAGACGGCACCGGCGAGGCCGGTCAGAAGCGCCGAACTGGCAAAGGCGATCAACTGGTAGCGCTGCCGGTCGATGCCGCGGCTCGACGCGTAGCCGACATTGTCGCGGATGGCGCGGAACGCCAGACCCAGCCGTCCGTGAATGATGACGACGAGCGCGACAAGGCTCAGCACGAAGACGGCCCAGACGACATAGTAATGGCCGACGATCCAGTCGCCGCGCAGGATCGGCCGGAACCCGAAATCGGAAAAGCGCGAAAAGCCGGTCGATCCGCCGAACAATTGCTGGCAATTGTTCTGGATCAGCGCGAAGCAGTGCGTGTCGGTGACGATCAGGATGCGCACCATCTCGGCGATGGCGAAGGTCAACAGCGCGACATAGGCGCCGGTCAGCCGCAGGCAGGCCAACCCGATCAACAGCGCCAGCACCATGGCGGCAAAGGCAGCCAGCGGGATCGCCAGCCAGATCGACAGGCCCGCCAGTTGCGTGCCCATCGCCACGCCATAGGCGCCGCACGCGAAGAACAGCAGTTGCGCCAGTGAGAAGACGCCCGCATGGCCCATCAAAAGATTCCAGTTCATCGCCACCATCGCCCAGATGAAGAAGACGATGACCTCGCCCAGAAGATAGCGCTCGCCGACGAACAGCGGCACGGCGGCAAAGCCCACGGCAATCACCAGCGCAATCGCCAGATGCTTGTTCAACTCGCCCGCAAGCATCACAGCCGCACCACCTTTTCCGTGCCGAACAGGCCTTGCGGACGCCAGATGAGGATGGCGATCACCAGCAAAAGCATGACCGGAAAGCCGAACCGCACGCCGACATAATACTGGATCGCCGCTTCCAGCAGCCCCAGCGCGAACGCGGCAACGCCGGCGCCCCACGCATTGCCGAGGCCTGCCACCACGCAGATCACGAACGCCTTGAGCAGCGGATCGCCGCCCATCGACGGCGACAGCGTCGACAGGGACGAAATCATCACGCCGGCGACGCCGGCGAGCGCGCCGGCCAGCGCCATCACCTGCAGATAGACGCTGTTGGTGCGCACGCCCATCAACTGCGCCGCCTCGCGGTTGATCGCGGTGGCGCGGATGGCCATGCCGAAGCGCGTCTTCAAAAGCAGCCAGGCAACCGCGCCGATCAGCACCAGCGCAACCGCGACGATCACCAGCGACTGCCGTGCGACGGCCACATCGAACAGGCGCACGACGCCCTCGACGCGCACCGGCTGCGGATAGGGATAGCCGCCGAACAGTTTCAGGACAAAGTCCTGCAACAGGATGGCAAGACCGGCCGTCGCGACGATGACATTGGTCTCGAACGCCTTGGAGCGCAGCATGAATCGCACCATCGCAAGGTGCGTTGCGACACCCATCGCCGCGCCGGCCGCCATTGCCGCAACAACCGCGGCGACCAGCGGCAGGCCGAGCTGCCCGGCGGCGGCGTAGGCCGCATAGGCGCCGATCGTCATGAACAGGCCGTGCGCCATGTTGAACATGCCCAGCGTGCCGAAGATCAGCGACAGGCCGACAGCAGCAAGCGCGTACATCGCGCCAAGCGTCATGCCGGTCACGACGATCTGGATGACGATATCCATGCTCAATGCCCGCCCAGATAGGTTTCAAGAATGTCGCGCGATCCGGCCACCTCGGCGGCCGTTCCCGACCATTCGATCCGGCCCGCATCCATGAGGCAGATGCGGTCGGCGATGCCGATCAGGCGGCTTGGATTTTCCTCGACCACCAGGAAGGCGCGGTCGGCGCGCGAAAGACCGCGCAGCCCTTCGTAGATCTGCTCGATGATCAGCGGCGCAAGGCCGAGCGACGGCTCGTCGATCATCATCACCTTGCCGCCGGCCATCAGACCGCGCCCTATGCCGACCATGCGCCGTTCGCCGCCCGAAAGGCTGCTGGCCGACTGGCCGCGCCGCTCGGCAAGGCGCGGAAAGAACGCGTAGACCTCCTCGAGCGCGCCCGGGACCTCGGAGGCACTGCGCAGATAGGCACCCATGCGCAAATTCTCCTCGACGCTCATCTCGCCGAAAAGCTGGTCGCCCTGCGGCACGTGCACAAGGCCCGCCGCGACCCGCTCGTGGACCATCGCCGTCTCGATCGCCTGGCCGAAGATACGGATGGCGCCCGACCGGGCCGGCACCAGTCCGGAAACGGTTTTAAGCAATGTGGTCTTTCCGTGCCCGTTCGGCCCGATCAGCGCCGCCATGGTGCCCGGTTCGATGTCCAGCGACACGCCGTGCAGCACCGGCCGGTTGTGATAGCCCGCCACAAGATCGCTGACCGAGAGCGCCGCCATCACGCCGTCTCCGCCATGCCGGGCAGTTCGGTGGTGCCCAGATAGACCTCGCGGACGGTCTGGTCCGCCGAGAGCCCGTTGGGCGTGCCGTCATAGATGATCCGGCCCTGATGCATGATCAGCGCGCGGTCGGCGACGCTGGTCAGAAAGCGCATGACATGCTCGATGAAGACCAGCGTCACGCCCTCGGCCTTCAGGCCCAGCATCAGCGCGATGAAATCGTCGATCTCCGGCGGGGTCAGCCCGCCGACCGGCTCGTCCAGAAGCAGAAGGTCGGGCTCGTTCACCAATGCGGTCGCCACCATCAGCTTCTTGCGCGCCAGAACCGGCACATTCTCCACCAGATCGTCGGCAATGTCTGTCAGGCCGAACTTGTCGAGCATCGCCCGGGCCTTGGCCCGGTCGTCGCGCGCGGTCAGCAGCCAGCCGCCCGCCGAACGCCGCCCGAAGGCGACCGCGGCGAGCACATTGTCCATGACGCTCAGCCCGTCAAAGCCGGAGTTGAGCTGGAAGGTGCGCGCCATGCCCATCTGGCAGATGCGGTGCGGCGGCGTGCCGGCCAGCGGCCGTCCACGCAACGCCACGCTGCCCGCGCTCATCGTGTTCAGACCCGAAATCAGGTCGAAGAAGGTCGTCTTGCCGGCACCGTTCGGCCCGCCAATGCCCACGGTCTCTCCGCGGCGGACATCGAAATCGACGCCATCGACGGCGACCAGGGCGCCGAAGCGCCTGGTCACGCCCCTGCATGACAAAAGGGGCTGTTCGTGGGCCGACAGCTCCGGCAACGGCTTCAGCCCTGCATCCAGGAAGGCAGCCTGAAGCTTTCGACATTGTAGGGCGGCGGCGCCACCAGCACGCCATCGGCGGCCGCATCCTGGATCTGGCTGAAGATGTGCGGCATGCCCAGCGACGGGTCTTTGGTCTGGCTGGGATAGCAGTAGGCCGACTGCGTTTCGGGGACGATGCGCATCGTGCCCACCGGGCCGCGATAGATCAGATGGCGCAGCCGGTCGGCAACCAGCCGGTTCTGATCCTCTTCATAGGGCGCGCCGGGACCGCCGGCGAGGGCTGCGGCAACCGCATAGGCGTGCATCGCCATATAGGTCTGGCCGCCGCCATTGGGCGAGGCGTTCTCGCCGAACCTGGCCTTGTAGGCCTCGGCGAACGCCGTGCCGATCTCGTCCTGAAGGGCGCCGATCACCGTCGCATAGAGCACGCCCTCCGAATTCTGGCCGGCGATCTCGCGGAACGCGGCGAGCGAGGCGCCATATTGCATGTAGACCAGGCTGTTGGTCGGCTCGTTCATGAACTGGTTCATGAACTGCGCCTGGTCCTGCGCATAGAAGTGGGTCACCGCGATCAGCGCCGGCGGATCGGCGCGCAGTTTGGCCAGCGTCGGGCCCCATTCGGAGATCGGCACGTTAACGGTCTCGAACAGCGACACCTCGAACCCGTATTCGACCGCCTTCTCGTTCAGTGCGTTGGCGATGTTGATCGAATAGACACCCGGCCCCGTGACGATCGCCAGCTTGTTGTTGGGCCGCGTGAACTCGCCGCGCTCCTCAAGCCCCTTGACGAAGTCCAGAAGGCCGACGCCGTAGAAGGTCTCGGGCGGATCGTACTGGAACGTGCCCCAGAACCGGTCGGGATCGGATTTGACCAGCTCGTCATGGACGACGACGGTATTGGCATGCATGGCGATGATGCCCGCATCGGCGGCAACATCGTGCAGTGCGGTGCCCGTCTCCAGATTGTAGCCGGTGATCAGCGCGCTGGCGCCGTCGCGGTCGATCAGCCGCTGGGCGGCCTGGATCACCGCATCGTCGCCCTTGCTTTCGGTATCGACGAACACCGCCTCGACCGGACGGCCCAGAATGCCGCCCATGCCGTTGATTTCCTCGACGGCCATTTCCAGCCCGCGCCGGAACTCGATGCCGTCGGCTGCGACGATGCCGGTCAGCGGCGCCGGGCAACCGATGATCACCGGCTCGCCGCCCTGTGCCGCAGCGGTCCGGTTCAACCCGGCCAGCAGCGCCGCCGAGCCCGTCGTCGCGCCCGCAAGGCGCAGAAAGTCGCGCCGCGATGTGGGCGCCGTCCTGGTCGTGTCGTTCATCGAAGTGCCTCCCGTTCTGGATTCCTGTTCAGTGTCCGCCGGCATACGCCTTGCGCGCCGCGGCAACGGCCTCGGCCTGGTGCGGCTGCAGGTCCTGCCCGCCATAGCCTGTGATGTGCGCGTCATAGGGATCGGTCACACCGCTGGACGCGCCGCTCAGCGCCTCGAGCACCGCAACACCGCAGAAGGGAACGTGCACGGCCGAATAGCCGCCCTCATGGGTCGCAAGAATGCGGCCGCCGCACAGATCGTCGGCAAGCGCCGCCATGCGCCCCGCCATCCAGCCGAAATCGGACGAGGACAGCATCATCGTGCCGAGCGGATCGAGCGCGGACGCATCGAACCCGCAGGGCAGCACGATCATGTCGGGCTTGAACGCTTCGATGGCCGGAGCGACCAGTTCGTCGATCGCGTGCCGGTAGGCGCCGCCGCCGCTGCCCGGCGGAAGCGGGATGTTCAGATTGGCGCCCTGCCCGGCACCCGAGCCGGTGTCGCCGATGCCGCCGCGGTCGGGCGGAAACAGATTGTCCTGGTGCAGCGAGATCGTCAGCACGTCCGCATCGTCGTAGAAGATCGTCTCGGTGCCGTTGCCGTGATGCACGTCCCAGTCGACGGTCACGATCCGCTCGAGGCCGCGCTTCTGGGCGTGACGCACGCCGATCGCCGCATTGGCGTAAAAGCAGAACCCCATCGCCGTTTCCGGTTCGGCATGATGGCCCGGCGGGCGGCAAAGCACATAGGCGTTGTCGACCGTCCCGTCGACGATCGCATCGACCGCCGCGATCACGCCGCCGGCGGCGAGCCGCGCAATGTCGGCGGTCGACCGGCCCATCGGCGTCAGTTCGCTGGCATCGCCGCCGCCCGAAGCGGCAACCTTTTCGATGTGTTCGATGTGGGACTTGGGATGAACGCGCATCAGCGCTTCGTCGTCGGCGGGCGCCGCCCGGACCGGAACCAAATGGCGCCCGAACCCGGATGCCTCGACCAGATTGCGGAACCGCCGTTTCGTCTCGGCATTTTCGAAATGCTCGCCTGGCTGCACGGAAAGACCCGGCTCGAACAGGCCCGCCCAGTTCTGCGTGTGGTGCCAGAAATAGAGTTCCTCGGCGACCCATCCCGTGCGCTTTTTGCCCGACTTGGCCATGCAACCTCCCTTGATCGTGCGACTGTGCCGGAACCGGCATTCACCGGAAATACCCCGGCATTGGTATTAGCGGCGGCCGATTGCGTGGAGTAGTACCACCCATGGTGCAAGTCCCATGGTGCAAGTCCCATGGTGCAAGTCGGGCGGGGCAAGTCGGGAGGCGCCGATGAAACACGACACATACGACCTTCTCGGCCGGATCGCCGTGGCCGGCAAACTCAAGGATGCGGAGCCGCATCTTGTGGCCATGTCCGTCCACGAGTTCACGCCGCAAAGCGTCCTTGCCATCGTCTACCGCGAGGGCCGGCGGCCGGAGATCGGCTTTCGCTGGATCCCAGACGACCATCTGCGCAAGACGTTCGACACCTATTACTGCGAAGTCGGTCATCTGCTGGACCCGTTCGCCCAGCGCGCCCGGAGCGAACAGGGCGCTTCGGCGTTCCGGCTCGCCGAGATCGCGCCCGACCGGTTCGAGGCAAGCGACTATTTCGCCAACTATTTCCAGTCGACGGGCATGGTCGATGAGCTGGGCGCCCTGCGCCGGCTGACGCCGCGCTCCGTCGTCCATTTCTCGATCGGCCGCAATGCCGGCTGTCCCAAGTTCACTGCCAGGGAAGTGCGGCGTTTCAAGCAGTTGCACGTCGCCTTCATGCCGAAACTCGCCGAACTGATGGCGGCAAAACAGGCCGATGGCGACGAGCCACAGCGCACGCCGGACCTTGTCGAGATCTTCTCCCGGCTGCGCACCGAGGAAGGCCAGGCGCTCAGTCACCGCGAAGCGCAGGTTGCCGCGCTGATCACGCAAGGGCATTCGAGCCGGTCGATCGCCTACAACCTCGAAATCTCGGTGCATACGGTCAAGGTGCACCGCCGCAACCTCTACCGGAAACTGGAGATATCGGCGCAGAACGAACTGTTCGGCCTGATCATCGACGCGCTTTAGCACGATTTCCGCGCCAGCGCGGCCATGCCGTACCGGGCAGCAGGGGTCATCCCAGATGCACCTGCCCTTCGGGATAGCGCACGCGCGGAATGGTGCGCGTTGCCAGGAAAAATCCCAGCGTCAGCGGTCCGACCCGGCCCAGAAACATGATCGCCATGATCATCAGCCGCCCCGGCTCGTTCAGTTCGCCGGTGAAGCCGCGCGACAGGCCGACCGTGCCGAACGCGCTCGCCACCTCGAAGGCGATGTCGAGAAAATCGCCCTCATGGGCGGCGGTGATCGCGAAGACACCGACGAACACCAGGATGACGCTGATGGCCGTCAGCGCCATCACCTTGAGCACCTGTTCAAGCCCGATCGACCGGCCGAACGCGGTCAGTTCCCTGCGGCGGCGGAAGAAGGCGATGGTGGCGAGAATCATGATGACGAAGGTCGTTACCTTGATACCGCCAGCGGTCGAGGTCGATCCGCCGCCGATCAGCATCAGCGAGATGAACATGACGGACGTGGAATCGTGCAATGCGCCGATGTCGGTGGTGTTGAAGCCGGCGGTGCGCGTCGTCACCGCCTGAAACCAGGCGACCATGGCCCTGACACCGGCGGACTCATGGGCGCCCAGCGTCGCAGGATTGTTCCATTCCAGAAGCGCCACCATGGCGACCGACCAGAGGATCAGGACGGCCGTCCCCGCGAGCATGATCTTGGTGTGCAGCGTGTAGCGGCTCCATTTTGCGCGTTCCCGGAAAACATCGGAGAAGACGACATAACCAAGCCCGCCGGCAATGAACAGCAACGGCACGACGAGGTTGACCAGCGGATCGGCTGAATAGGGCACAAGGCCGGGCGTGAAGGTTGAAAAGCCGGCATTGTTGAACGCCGAGATCGAGTGGAAGATCGCGTGCCAGATGCCCATCCCCCAGCCGAAATCGGGCACGAAGGAGAAGGCAAGCAGCACCGCGCCCGCCGCCTCGAACACGAGCACCACGCGCAGGATCGTGCCGACCAGCCGTGTCAGGTTGCGCATCGAGGTCTGGTTGAGATCCTCGCGCAGATAGAGCTGCGGCGTCAGTCCGACCGGCAGGCCGAGCGCCTGCAACACCAGGACGGCAAACGTCATCAGGCCGAGCCCGCCTAGCTGGATCATCACAGCCAGGATCATCTGGCCCCAAAGGCTCAGCACGGTGCCCGTATCGACGACGATCAGCCCCGTCACGGTGACTGCGGAGGTCGATGTGAACAGCGCATCGGACCAGGTGATCGGCTCGGTCGTCGCGAACGGCAGCTTGAACGCCCCCGCGCCGATGGCGATCAGAACGCCGTATAGGCTTGCCAGGATCATCGGCGGCGGCATTGTCGTGAACCGGTGGCGCATGCCACGGATGGCCGATCGCATCGCCGCGGCCTAAAGCGAATCGCCGAATCGGCGCAGATCGGCCCGCTTGCCGAGCACCAGCAGCTTGTCCTTTTCCTGCAATGTCAGACCGCCATTGTCGCAATCGACATAGTCGGTTCCGCGCATCAGGCCCAGAAGCTGCAGGTCGTGGCTCTTGCCGATCTTCAAGGCGTCGAGCGTCTTGCCCTCCAGCCGTTCGGGCACGAGGATGTTGACCACGTGAAAGCCGTTGCCGAGACTCACATAATCCTGGACGGCCGGATTGTTGAGCATCTGCGCGATGTGGCGCCCCATCTCCTGTTCGGGCTGGATGACGCGGTCGACACCCAGCTTGGACAGGATGCGGTGATGGGCCTTGCCGGCGGCCTTGACCCAGATCGTCTCGACACCCACCAGCTTGAGGTTCATCGTCGTCAGGATCGACGCCTCTATGTCGTCGCCGATCGCCACGATCGCCGCCCCGTATCCGTCGATGCCGATTTCGCGCAGCGCATCCTCGTCGGTGGCGTCGAGAATGGCCGTCGAAGACAAATGTTCAGCGACCCGCGAGACACGCTTCTCATCGATGTCGATGCCGGCGACCGTGTTGCCCGAGCGTTGCAGTTCGGTGGCGACGGTCGAGCCGAAGCTGCCAAGTCCGATCACGGCGAAGCTGCGGGAGGTTACGGCCATGGACAAGGTCCTTTCGGTCAGGGCATCGGGTTACAATGCGCCGCATGCAGGCCGGTTCCGGATCGGATCACGGCGTCGATACCACGCCGACCGCCACCAGCCCCATCAGGCCGACAAGCGTGACATAATAGAGCGTCGGCACCAGCGTCAGGCGCAGCACCTGCCCTTCCCGGCCCAGATAGCCGACCGTCGCCGACGCGGCGACCACATTGTGGATGGCGATCATGTTGCCGGCGGCGGCGCCGACGGCCTGCAGCGCCACGACGGTGACCGTCGGCATCGACAATTGCCCGGCCACACCGAACTGGAAGGCGCCGAACATCAGATTGCTGATCGTGTTGGAGCCGGCGATGAACGCGCCAAGCGCGCCGATCGAGGGCGCAAAAAGCGGCCAGACACCGCCGACGGACTGCGCCACCCAATCCGCCATGGCAAGCGGCATCGAGGCGAGCGCCAGCTCGTTGATGTCCGAATTGACGTAGATGCGCACCATCGGAACCGTGAACATCAGGACGACACCGGCACCGAGCAGCGTCCGCGTGCTCTCCGCAAAGGCACGCGCCATCTCCGATGGCCGCATCCGGTGCAGCCAGAAGGTGACGAGAACCGTGACGATGAAAACCGTCGCCGGCAGATAGAGCGGTGTGCTGGCCGCCGAAATGCCGGTGCCGAAAATGTCGGGAAAACTGATCCGGAGCGACTTCAGCCAGTCGCCGAAGGGAAGCGCCGGCAGACGCGTCAGCACCAGAAGGATCGCGATCAGCAGATAGGGTGCCCAGGCCCGCCACAGGGACGGCCGCGTGCCGGCGGGCGGCGCCTCCCCCGTATCCGCCTGCACCGATCCCAGCCAGTAGACCGGCCAGTCCGCGCGCGGCGGAAACGTCCAGAGCGACTTCGGCACCAGAAATCCGGCGCGCGCGGCCATGATCATCACGGCAAGCCCGGCCAGCCCGCCGATCATGGACGGGAACTCCGGCCCCAAGAGCCAGCCGATCAGCGCATAGGGCACGACGAACGCCACGCCGCCGAACAGTGCAAAGGGCACCGCCGGCAGCGCTTCGCGCCACGACCGGTTGGCGCCGAAAAAGCGCGTGGTCATCAGCACCATCAACACCGGGATGAACAGGCCCGCCACACCGTGGAAGATGACGACCTGATTGGTGACCAGTTGCAGATAGTCGGCAAGCGTCAGGCCGTTTTCGGCGAGCAGCGCTTCCAGTTGCGGCCCGTCCAGCCCGCCGGCGAGGCCGACGAGCACGGGCGTGCCCGCCGCGCCGAACGTCACCGGCGTCGATTGCAGCGTCATGCCGAGCATGACGGCGGCCATGGCGGGAAAGCCGAGTGCAACCAGCAGCGGCGCCAGGATAGCCGCGGCCGTCCCGAACCCGGCCGCCCCCTCGATGAAGGCGCCGAACATCCACACGATGATGACGATCTGAATGCGCGGGTCCGGGCTGATCGCCGAGAAGCTGTCCTTGATGACCGCCAGCGCGCCCGAATGCTTGAGCGTGTTCAAAAGCAGGATCGCGCCGAAGACGATCAGCAGGATGTCGAAGGTGATGACCAGCCCCTGCAGAGACGCGGCTACGACACGAAGGGCGGGAACCTGCCACACGAACAGCGCCAGCAGCGCCGCGACCACATAGACCACCGGCATCGCCGACCGGGCGGGCATGCGCAGGCCGACCAGAAGCAGGCCGGCGACAAGGATCGGCAGGGCGGCGACAAGCGCCTGAAGCCCGAGGCTCATGGGAGAAACGCCCGCAACGCGTGATCGATGCGACCAGACCTAGCCGGTTCGGACGGCTGCGAAAAGGGGAGTCAGCCCGGCGACAGGCCGCGCAGACGTTCCGAACGCCGCCGCAGCATCTCCAGCGTGAACAGCAAGGCGATCGAGAGCGCCACCATCACCGAGGCGACGGCGAGAATGGTCGGCGATATCTGCTCGCGCAGGCCGATGAACATCTGCCATGGCAGCGTCTTCTGGCTTGCCGAGCCGAGGAAGAGGACGACCACAACCTCGTCGAACGAGGTGATGAAGGCAAACAGCGCCCCTGAAATGACGCCGGGCATGATCAGCGGCATCTGCACCTTGAAGAAGGTCGTCACCGGATCGGCGCCCATGCTCGCCGCCGCGCGCACCAGAGACCGGTCGAAGCCGACCAGCGTCGCCGTCACGGTGATGATCACGAAAGGCGTGCCGAGCGCCGCGTGGGCGAGCACGACGCCGATATAGGTGCCCTGGAGCCCGAGCCGCGAATAGAAGAAATACATACCCGCCGCCGAGATGATCAACGGCACGATCATCGGCGAGATCAGGATCGCCATGATCGCCGACTTGTAGGGCACATGCGCCTGGGAAAGGCCGATCGCCGCCAGCGTACCGAGCACCGTGGCCAGGATCGTCGCAGCCGGCGCGATCGTCACCGAATTGTAGAGCGCCTGCTGCCAGTCCGGGTTGGTGAAGAAGTCGACATAGTGCTTGAACGAGTAGGCATCCGGATCGAGCCGCAGCATGCCCGGCGTGAAGGTGAAGAAGTTCTCCGCGTTGAACGACAGCGGCACGATCACCAGGATCGGAAAGATCAGGAAGAAGAAGATCAGCCCGCAAATGACCCGGAACGCATAGAACCAGGTGAGCTGCAGCGTCGAGGCATAGGGCGGCAAGGGTGATGACATGTTTGCTGCTCCCTAGCCCAGCTTCACATTGTCGATGCCGACGATCCGGTCATAGACATAGAACAGCGCCATGACGAGCAGCAAAAGGATGGTGCCCAGCGCGGCCGCCAGTCCCCAGTTCAGGCTCGTCGATATGTGATAGGCGATGCGGTTGGATATGAAGATACCGCTTGTGCCGCCGACCAGTTCGGGCGTGATGTAGTAGCCGATCGCCAGAATGAAGACGAGGATCGCGCCGGCGCCGATGCCCGGCACGGTCTGCGGGAAATAGACCCGCCAGAACGCCGTCCAGTCGCTCGCGCCAAGGCTCTTGGCGGCGCGCACATAGGACGGCGAGATGGTCTGCATCACCGAATAGAGCGGCAGGATCATGAACGGCAGGAGGATGTGCGTCATGGCGATGATCGTGCCGGTCTGGTTGTTGATCATCACCAGCCGCCCGGCATCGTCGATCAGGTTGATCCAGACGAGGAAATCGTTGATCACCCCCTGCTGCTGCAGGAGCACCTTCCAGGCCGAGGTGCGCACCAGAAGCGAGGTCCAGAACGGCAGCAGCACCAGGATCATCAGAAGGTTGGCCGAGCGTGCCGGAAGGTGCGACAGAAGATAGCCGATCGGATAACCGAGCAGCAGGCACGACAGCGTGATCATCAGGCTCATCACGAGCGTGCGCCAGAACAGCGTCAGATAGATGCGCTCGTTCTCCGGCTTCATCTCGACGCCCTCGGCGGTCAGTTCCGCATCCACGGCGTTGAGGAAGTAGCCCGGCGTATAGGGCGGGCTGTAGCGCTTGATCACCGCCCAGACCTCGATATCGGCCCAATCCTCGTCGATCTCGATGAACCGCTCCCTGAAAGGCCCTTCGGCCTCCATCCGGCGCACCTCCCGCCCGGTCTTGCGGAACAGGCCCGACATGCCGGATTTTTCATAGTTCAACCGCGAGCCGAGCCGGGTGTGAATCCGCTTTTCAACGGCGATCTGCAGATCGCGGTAAAGGGCCGCAAAGACGCGCTCGTCCGGAAGTTCGCCGCTGTCGGCGTCCCAGGAGGCCAGCGTCTGCACGGTCTCCGGAATCGTGTCCCGGACGATGTTGTTCTCGACCGACCGGAACAGCATGTCGGCGATCGGCAAAAGAAAGGAAATGACGACGAAGGCCAGAAGCGGCGCGATCAGCAGGAAGGACCGCAGCTTTTCGCGGCGCAGCGCGCGCGCCAGGCTGCGCTTGAGCGGGGTTCCATCGGCGGCGCGCACGATGCCGTCGCCCGCAATTGCATCGGTCGGTGTGTCGGTGGCGCTGCTCATCGCAATCCCCGCTGAATATCCGGGTCGTCAGAAAATGCTCTCAAAATCAGGATCGGACACGGCGCGGGGCGCCGTGTCCGGTTGTCGTTGGCCTTACTGAACCAGCCAGGCCTGGAATTTCGCGTCGATGTCGTCGCGATTGTCGGCCCACCAGGTGTAGTCGTAATTGTGGACGTTGGCAGCGTTCGCCGGATCGGTCGGCATGTGCGGCGCCATGTCGATGCCAAGCTCGGCATGGGTGCCCACCAGCGGCGCGGACGATGCGCGAGCCGGGCCGTAGGAGATGTACTTGGCCTGGTCCGCCAGACGCTGCGTGTCGGTGGCGAACTTCAGGAAGTGCTTGGCGCGGTTGAGACGTGCCTCGTCCAGGCCCTCCGGAATGATCCAGCCGTCAAGGTCGAACGACTGCATGTCCCACATCATGGCGATGGGCTGGTCCTGCTCGGCGATCGCCGAGAACAAGCGGCCGTTGAACGTCGAACCCATCACGACTTCGCCGTCGGCCAGCAGCTGCGGCGTCTCGGCACCGGCCGTCCACCAGACGACCTGGTCCTTGATCGTGTCGAGCTTGGCGAGCGCGGCTGCGATACCCTCGTCGGTGCTCAGCACATCGTAGATTTCATCTTTCGGTGTGCCGTTGCAGTATGTCGCCCATTCCATGTTGTCGATCGGACGCCTCTGCAGTGACCGTTTGCCCGGGAAGGTTTCCAGGTCGAAGATGTCGCAGATGTCATCGGGCACGGCACCGTTCCACTCGGCCACATCGGTGCGATAGCCGAATGTCGTCGAATAAACGATCTGCGGCACGAAGCAGTCGTTGACGCGCAGCACGCCGAAATCATCGTCGGCCGACGTGCCGTCCGGAGCGGGGGCCAGTTCGGTCGCGCCGTCGATCTCGATCGCAAGACCCTCGTCACACAGGCGGATTGCATCCGAAGCCACCACATCGACGACGTCCCAGGTCACGTTGCCGGCTTCGCTCATGGCACGCAGCTTGGCAACGGCCTCGGCCGAGGATTCGTCCCAAACGAAGGTGACGCCCGTCGCCTCGGCATAGGGCTCCGAATAGGCCTTGATCTGCGAATTCTGATAGGCGCCGCCCCAGGAGACGACGGTCAGTTCATCGGCGCAGTTCTCGCAGGGCGCCTCGGCCAGCGACATGTCGCCTTCGGCAAACGCCGGCAAAGCCAGCACGCCAGCCGCCGCGGTCGCCATGAGAATTGACTTGAGTTTCATTGATTGCTCCCTTTTTTGTCCGGGACAGCCCCGGCGGATGGCCGAACGCGCTGTCCCCATTGCCCCGGGCACCACTGCCCGCGGTCAATTTCGTTGCGCGCTCACGCCACGGCGTCGAGCGCCTTGCAGTCCGAGGCCGACCACCCGACCTTGACCATGTCGCCTTCCGAGATCGGTCGCTTGTCGCGCCGGTTGCGGACCTTGACGATGAACTCGTCATTGCCGGCCACGTTCATGCGCACGCGAATGTGATCGCCCAGATAGATCAGTTCCTCGATCTTGCCGTCGAGCACGTTTTCCGGCTCGTCGGAAGGCGCCAGTTCGATCCGCTCGGGCCGCAGCGAAACCGTGGTCCTGCTGCCGGCGCCCTTGACATTGACCGGATCGGCAACCAGCAGCGTTCCATCGTCGAGCCGCACCTCGCAATTGGCGCCGTCCATCGCGACAACCTCGCCCGAAAGCTTGTTGTTCTCGCCGATGAACTGGGCGACGAAGGAGTTTTGCGGGCTCTCATAAAGAACGTCGGGCGACGACAATTGCTGGATCACGCCGTCATTGAAGACCGCCACACGATCCGACATGGTCAGCGCTTCGGTCTGGTCGTGCGTCACATAGACGATGGTGACGCCAAGATTTTCGTGAATGTGCTTGATCTCGTACTGCATCTGCTCGCGCAGCTGCTTGTCGAGCGCGCCCAGCGGCTCGTCCATCAGCACCAGTTCGGGATCGAACACGAGCGCGCGCGCCACCGCGACGCGCTGCTGCTGGCCGCCCGAAAGCTGCGCCGGCCGCCGGCCGCCGAACGCGCCCAGTTCGACCATGTCGAGGGCCCGCCTGATGCGGTCTTCCTGTTCGGCCTTGCCGACCCCGCGCACCTGCAGCGGGAACGCGAGGTTCTCGGCCACCGACATGTGCGGGAACAGAGCGTAATTCTGGAACACCATGCCGATGCCGCGCTTGTGCGGCGGCACATTGTTGATGCCCTGCTCGTTGAGATAGATCTCGCCATGCGTCGCCGGCTCGAAACCGGCCAGCATCATCAGGCAGGTGGTCTTGCCGGAGCCCGAAGGCCCAAGCATTGTCAGGAATTCGCCCCGGGCGATATCGAGATTGAGGTCTTTGACGACGAGCGTTTCACCGTCGTAGCTTTTCTGAACACCGTCGAACTTGACTGCTGCGCCTCTGGAAATGGCTTTCCACTCCGCTTTTTGAACCCCGTCGCCGGCGAAAACTTCCATACCGCCGACACCCTCATCAAATCGAACATCGCACCCGGTTGTAAAGGGGTACAATCAAATCAATTTGGCGTTGACGACGAAATTTCTGTCGAGAATGCGACAATTTGGGTCTAACGGGCGGACGGCACACCATCGCCGGCAGTGATCGCGAAATCGCCGGTCAGCGTCCCCGAGGCGCGGTCGAAGATCAGGGCCCGCTGCGCGCCGTTGCCGACCGTGCCGCGCAGCATGATGGCATCGGCCGTCAGATCGCTCTCAAGGACCGCAAAACCGTCCGGCACGATCAGATCGCCGCGCGTCAGCGAAGATGTAGTCGCCTCGCCCAATTGCCAGACGATCGCCGCCAGCACGGCAAAGACACCGACGAACATGATGCCGATCGACACGGCCAGGAGCCGCACCATCTTGCGCCGCACGCGCTCGGCGGCGGGATCGAGCGGCGCCTCTTCGGCAAGCTCCGGCGGCAACTGGTTCATCTCGGTCCTATTGATTGCGGCGCCGGCGCCCGATAGCACCGGCAGACAATGGCCCTGCCCTACAGAGGAACGCGGCAAAATGGAAGACGTGACCGCCGGGCCCGACGATGCCGGCCAGCGCCTGGACCGGTTTCTCGCCGCCGCATTGGACGGCACGGTTTCCCGCAGCCGCCTGAAGGCGCTGATCGAGGACGGGCGCGTGACGGTCAACGACACCGTGGTGCGCGAGCCGCGACGCTCGATGCGCAAAGGCGATGTCGCGCGCATCGACCTGCCGCCGCCCGCCGATCCCGAGCCACAGGCCGAGGCCATCGCGCTTTCGGTGGTGTACGAGGACGATACGCTGATCGTCATCGACAAGCCGGCCGGCATGGTCGTCCATCCCGGCGCCGGCAACCCGACCGGAACCCTGGTCAACGCGCTGATCCACCATTGCGGCGACACCTTGTCGGGCATTGGCGGCGTCAAGCGCCCGGGCATCGTGCACCGGCTCGACAAGGACACGAGCGGCGTCATGGTCGTCGCCAAGACCGACGCCGCCCACAAGCACCTGTCCGGGCAGTTTGCCGACCACGGCCGCACCGGCGCCATGGAACGGACCTATCAGGCGCTGGTCTGGGGCGCGCCGGACCGGAACGCCGGCACGATCGCCACCCATCTCGGCCGGTCCGGCAGCGACCGCACCAAACAGGCCGTCGTCTCCGAAAGCCAGCCGGACGCGCGCCACGCCGTGACCCGTTTTTCGGTGGAGACGCGCTTCGGCCCGCCGGCGAAACCCGTCGCCAGCCTTGTCGCCTGCACGCTGGAAACGGGCCGCACCCACCAGATCCGCGTGCACATGGCCCATATCGGCCATCCGCTGATCGGCGATGACGTCTACGGCGCCGGCTTCCGCTCCAAGGCGCGCGCGGTGCCCGAAACGGCACGCGCGGCGGTCGAGGCGCTCGGCCGGCAGGCGCTGCACGCCAGGACGCTCGCCTTCATCCATCCCTCGACCGGCGATCTGATGCGGTTCGAGGTCGCCATGCCTGCCGACATGGCACGTGTCGCCGAGGAATTGAGGCGCTTCTAGAAACACTTGAAATCATTGGCATTCGCCACCATTTATAGCGCAAAGCCGCGTTCAGCGGCGGCATAGGCGTGCATGAATTGGCGCATATGCCTCTTGCTTGCCGCATTTCTGCGGGAGCCATCATGGGAGAAAGGGTGCTAACTATGGCCCAGAACACACTACCGAGCCTTGCCGGCGGCAGTAACGGACTTTCGCGGTACATGGAGGAAATCCGCCGCTTTCCGATGCTTCAGCCCGACGAGGAATACATGCTCGCCAAGCGCTATCACGAGCATGACGACACCGACGCCGCCCACAAGCTTGTGACCTCGCATCTGCGACTGGTCGCCAAGATCGCCATGGGCTATCGCGGCTACGGCCTGCCGATGGGCGAGGTGGTCTCCGAAGGCAATGTCGGCCTGATGCAGGCCGTCAAGAAATTCGATCCCGAGCGCGGTTTCCGTCTCGCCACCTACGCAATGTGGTGGATCAAGGCTTCGATCCAGGAATATGTCCTGCGCTCGTGGAGCCTTGTGAAGATGGGCACGACCGCCAACCAGAAGCGGCTGTTCTTCAACCTGCGCAAGGCCAAGAGCCGTATCCAGGCACTGGGCGATGCCGACCTCAACGAGGAACAGGTCAAGAAGATCGCGACCGACCTTCAGGTCTCCGAGGAAGAGGTCCTGTCGATGAACCAGCGCCTCAGCGGCGACGCCTCCCTGAACGCGCCGATCCGCGCCGCCGAGGGCGAGAGCGGCCAGTGGCAGGACTGGCTCGTCGACGAGAGCGACAGCCAGGAGAAGATGCTGATCGAGGAGGACGAACTGGACCATCGCCGGGCCATGCTGCGCGAGGCGATGGAGGTGCTCAACGAACGCGAACAGCGCATCTTCAAGGCCCGCCGCCTGTCCGAGGATCCGCTGACGCTCGAGGAACTTTCCGGCGAATTCGACATCTCGCGCGAGCGCGTCCGCCAGATCGAGGTCCGCGCCTTCGAAAAAGTGCAAAAGGCGATGGTCGCGGCCGCCGCCAAGCTGAACGCGCCGCCGGCCCAGCTCGAACACGCGGGCTGAGCGGGAACGTCCGGCAGCGGCAGCGCATCTACCAACAGCCCCCGCCTGGCCTTTGCCGGACGGGGGCTTTTTTGTACCAAGGAACCAGGTTGTCGCCGGGGCTCAGCCCCCGCTTGCATCACCCAGCGGCGCCGCTTCCCAGGCTTCGAACACCTCGCGGAAGACCGCATCGCCCGCCGCGCCCTTTTCCAGCGTGATCAGCGCCCGCCGCCCCGACACATACTGCATCGGAATGTCGACCCAGCCCTGACTGAGCATCAGCGAGGTGTTGGTCTGTACGGCCGTTTGCGCGTCGGTCAGCGCAACCAGGAAGATGTTGGTGTCGATCGGCGCGGGCACCGCGATCAGCGCGCTGCCGGGGTCCTGCTCGGTGTTCTTGAACGTGATGCGCTGCACATCGGCGATGCCGCGCCCCTCGAACGTGTCGGGCACAGTGAAGAACAGTTCGACGATATGGCTGGCCGGGAAGGTCACATCGCCATTGCGGCGGATGGTGACTTCGAGCGCCAGTCCCAGATCCGGGATCGACGACTGGGCGCGGATCGCCGGTTCGAGCGGCAGATCGCCGCCGGGCGATTCCTGCACCACCGACCAGACGGTCGAACCTTGCATCGCGGTGCCCGGCTGGGTTCCGGTGCGTTCCTCGTAGAAAATGGTGCGCTGGCCGACGGCAATGCCGTCCTGCGCGTCGGTGGCCGGTGCCCCGGGCGTTCCGGCATCGGGCGCGGTCGCATCCTCGCTGCCCGCCGTCTGGCCGGCAACCGAACTGCCCTCGCCGGGGGCGACCGCCCCCGGTGCCGGGCCTTCGTCGATCTCGCGGCCATCCTCGGTCAGGCGCTGCGTGAACTTCTGGATGCCGTCATCGCCGCTGCCGGCATCGACCGTCTCGGGAGGCGTCGCTTCGGCGGGCGCATCTTCGCCCGCATCGCCGCTGTCCGCATTGACGGGCGTCGTTTCCACCGTGCGCACAGGCACGTCGCCCTCATCGGTTTGGGACGCGGCGCCCCCAAGGCCCGACAGGAAGGCGCGAAGCGGCTCCTGGTTGACATAGGCCGCATAGCCGCCGCCCGCCAGCAGAACGACGAGCACCGCGGCGGCAATCAGCCAGCCGCCGCGGCGGGGCTTTTCCGCCGGTTCCGCAACATCCGCGTCGGCCGGCTCGCCGATCAGGTCGTTGCCGGCTCCGCTCGTGGCGGCCACGTCCGGAGCAGTGCCGGCGACCGGTTCGCCGAACAGCACATCGACGGCCCGGTCGGCGTCGCTGTCCGCTTCGGCCATGGTCTCGCGTTCCTCGCTGAGGAAATCGAGCAGCGGGTCATGGTCCTCGGCGCGCGGCATGGGCGGTTCGGCGTCGGCATCCGGCGACCGTTCCAGCCCGCCGCCATCGGGCGGCGTGTCGAGCGCAAACGGGTCTTCTGGAACCGTGTCCGCCTGCCCGGCGACCACGTCGTCGAGCGATGAAATCACATCGTCGACGGTGGGGTCCGGTTCGGCCGGCGTATCGAAAGACGGCGCGTCGGGCACGACCGGTTCGTGGAAAACCGTCTCATCCGCCGACACGTCAGCCGGAGGCGCCTGCCAAGGATCGGCCGGCTGCTCGGCAACGGTGTCCGCGGCACCTTCGGGTTCGGGCTCCGGCGCCGCATCCGGCTCTGGTTCGAGCTCCGACGCCTCATCCGGCTCTGGTTCGGGCTCGGCCTCGGGCACCGTTTCGCCAACGAACACGGCTTCCGGCGCGGGCTCCGGCTCGACCGTGGCTTCCGGTTCGGCAGGCTGGTCCGGTTCGGCCGGTTCCGGCTCTGCGGCGGGCGGCTGGTCCGGCTCGGCGTCTGCTGGTACCTCGTCCGGGATCGGCGCCGCATAGCCGGCCTCGATTTCGGCGATCGCCGATTCGAGTTTCTCGAACTGTCGGTCGATGGCCGCCTGCGGCGGCTGGCTGGCCATGGCGTCGATCTGCCGCTGCACCGTCTGGCGCGCCTTGTCATAGACCTGGGCGCGCACCTCCGGCGTCGTTTCCCCCATCTTGTCGAGGGTCTTTTTCAGAATCGCAGCAAAATCTGCCATGAATTCAATCCGCTATGCGCCCGTTCTTGAGGTGCCAAACTAGTCTTGAAACGGGTCGGTCACAAGTATCGTGTCGTCCCGCTCCGGAGAGGTGGACAAAATGGCCACCGGCGCGCCGATCAGTTCTTCGACATGACGCACATATTTGACCGCTTGCGCGGGAAGATCGTTCCAGGACCGCGCGCCTGCGGTCGTCCCGCTCCATCCTTCCAGCGTCTCATAGACCGGCGTCAGCCGCGCCTGCGCGCCCTGGCTCGCCGGAAGATAGTCGATCCGCGCGCCGTCCAGCTCGTAGCCGACACACACCTTGATCTCCTCCATGCCGTCGAGCACGTCGAGCTTGGTCAGCGCGATGCCGGTGATGCCGTTGACCGCAACCGCCTGGCGCACCATCACCGCATCGAACCAGCCGCAGCGGCGCTTGCGTCCGGTGACGACGCCGAACTCGTGGCCGCGTTCGCCAAGATACTGGCCCACCTCATTGTCCTGTTCGGTCGGGAATGGCCCCTCGCCGACACGCGTCGTGTAGGCCTTGGTGATGCCCAGCACATAATCGATGGCGCCAGGACCCATGCCCGATCCGGTCGCCGCCTGGCCGGCGATGGTGTTGGAGGAGGTCACGAACGGATAGGTGCCGTGATCGATGTCCAGATAAGTGCCCTGCGCGCCCTCGAACAGGATGCGCGCGCCGGCACGGCGCTTGTCGTCGAGCACCTTCCAGACCCTGTCCACAAACGGCAGGATCGCATCGGCGACCGAAGACAACTCCTCCATCAGCGCATCATGGCCGATCTCGGGCTGGTTCAGGCCGCGTCGCAGCGCATTGTGGTGTGTCAGCAGCCGGTCGACCTTGGCCGGCAGCGTCTCCATGTTGGCCAGATCCATGACGCGAACCGCGCGGCGGCCCACCTTGTCCTCATAGGCCGGGCCGATGCCGCGCCGGGTCGTGCCGATCTTGGTGCCCGAATTGGACGCCGCGTCCTCGCGCAGCGCGTCCAGTTCGCGATGCACCGACAGGATCAGCGCGGTGTTCTCGGCAATGCGCAACCGGTCGGGACCGATATCGACGCCCTGCTCGGCCAGCCGGCCAAGCTCTGCGACAAAGGCGTGCGGGTCGAAAACAACGCCATTGCCGATGACGCTCATCTTGCCCTCGCGAACGACGCCCGAGGGCAGTAGCGAGAGCTTGTAGACCGTGCCGTCGACCACCAGCGTGTGGCCGGCATTGTGCCCGCCCTGGAAGCGCACCACCACATCGGCGCGCTCGGACAGCCAGTCCACGATCTTGCCCTTGCCTTCGTCGCCCCATTGCGAGCCGACAACCACCACATTGGCCATGCCGCCGTCTTCCCCTTGCCGGTTTGAAACAAACGGGCCGTCTATAAACGCGCCGGAGCCAAAGCGCGAGGCCGCGACGCCGGCGAATTGCCTCGGTGACGGGTTTTTCCTCGCAAATCGGCCGATGCTGCGCCATGTAGGCCGTCCGACCGCCGAACACGGAGCCTTCATGCCGGCCCAGGACGCACCGACCGCCCAGGTCAACCGCCTCGCCTATCTGCTTTTGGTGATGACCACCATCTTCTGGGGCGGCAATGCGGTGGCCGGCAAGCTCGCCGTCGGCCACATCTCGCCGATGATCCTGACCAGCGTGCGCTGGATGATGGCCTTCACGATCCTTCTGGTCATTGCCGGCCCGCAATTCTGGGCCGACCGGCAAAAGATCGTGCGGCACCTGCCGCTGCTGTTCATTTACGGCGCAACCGGTTTTGCCGGCTTCAACGTCGCGCTCTATTCGGCGCTCAACCACACATCGGCGATCAATGTGGCGATCTGGCAGGCCGGCATTCCCATGTTCATCTTCCTGCTCAATTTCGCGGTCTTTCGGACCCGCGTGACCCCGGCGCAGATCGTCGGTTTTCTCCTGTCACTGATCGGCATCGCCTTCGTTGCGTCCAACGGCAGTCTCGAGCAGCTTGTCGGACTGGTCATCAACCGGGGCGATGCCTTCATGGCGCTGGCCTGCCTGCTCTATGCCGGCTATTCGGTGGCGCTGCGCTACAAGCCCGACCTGCACTGGAAATCGATGATGCTTGCCATGGCGTTTTCCGCCATGGTCGTGTCCTGGCCGTTTGCCTTTCTCGAGTGGCGCTCGCCGGCGGGCATCGTGCCGGACATGCAGGGCTGGCTCGTCGCCATCTACACCGCCGTCTTCCCCGCCATCTTCGCCCAGGTCTTCTTCATGCGCGGCGTCGAGATGATCGGCTCAAACAGGGCGGGCCTGTTCGTCAATCTGGTCCCGGTGATCGGCACCGTCATGGCCGTCCTGATCCTCGGCGAGGTGTTCGGCGTGCACCACGCCATCGCCATGGTCCTGGTGATCGGCGGCATCTGGCTGGCGGAACGCAAGCCGGCCGGTCAAGGCTGAGCGGCCGGATCACGCTATCCAATCCTAGACGTCGAACACCAGCGGCTTGGCCGACAGGATTTCCGGGAACCCGCGCACCTTGTCGAGCACGTGTTCGGGCACCGGATCGTCGACATACAAAAGCGCGATCGCATCGCCGCCGGGCCGGTTGCGGCCAAGCTGGAAGTTGGCGATGTTGACGCCATTGTCGCCGAAGGTCGTGCCCAGAATGCCGATGATGCCCGGCGCGTCATTGTTGGTCGTATAGACCATGTTGCGGCCGATCTCGGCGTCCAGATTGATACCCTTGATCTGGATGAAGCGCGGCTTGCCGTCGGCGAAGACCGTGCCGGCCACCGAGCGGGTCTGGTTGGCGCTCTTGACGGTCAGCTTGATGTAGCCGTCGAACACGCCCGACTTGTCGCGCTTGACCTCCGAGACGATGACGCCGCGCTCTTTGACCATGACAGGCGCGGAGACCATGTTGACATCGGCCACCTGCGGCCGGATCAAGCCGGCCAGCGTCGCGCTGGTCAGCGCCTTTGTGTTCAGCTCCGCCGTCAAGCCGTCATAGAGGATCTCCACTTCGAGAATGGCCGACTCGGCGACCTGGCCGACGAAGGCGCCGAGCACCTCGGCCAGTTTGACGAACGGCTTGAGGATCGGCGCTTCCTCGGCGCTGATCGACGGCATGTTGATCGCATTCGTCACCGCGCCCTTGACCAGATAGTCGCTCATCTGCTCGGCCACCTGCAGCGCCACATTCTCCTGCGCCTCGGTGGTCGAGGCGCCCAGATGCGGCGTGCAGACGACATTGGGGATGTCGAACAGCGGGCTTTCGGTCGCAGGCTCGATCTCGAACACATCGATGCCGGCGCCGGCCACCTTGCCGGCCTTGAGCGCCTCCGCAAGAGCCGCCTCGTCGACGAGCCCGCCCCTCGCGCAGTTGATGATGCGCACGCCGTCCTTCATCTTCCCGATGGCGGCGGCGTCGATCACGTTGCGCGTCTTGTCGGTCAGCGGCGTGTGCAGCGTGATGAAGTCGGCACGATCGAGAAGTTCATCCAGTTCCACCTTCTCGACGCCCAGATCCATGGCGCGCTCTTCCGACAGGAAAGGGTCGAACGCGATGACGTTCATCTTCAGCCCGATCGCGCGCTGGGCGACGACCGAACCGATATTGCCGCATCCGATCACGCCCAGTGTCTTGCCGGTGATCTCGACGCCCATGAATTTCGATTTTTCCCACTTGCCGGCGCGGGTGGAGATGTCCGCGGCCGGAATCTGCCGCGCGACGGCGAGCATCATCGAAATCGCATGTTCGGCGGTGGTGATCGAGTTGCCGAACGGCGTGTTCATGACGATGATGCCGCGGCGCGATGCGGCAGGAATGTCGACATTGTCGACGCCGATTCCGGCGCGGCCGACCACCTTGAGATTGTCGGCTGCGGCGATCAGCTTTTCGGTCACCTTGGTCGCCGAGCGAATGGCGAGGCCGTCATACTGGCCGATCACCTCCAGCAGCCTGTCCTTGTCCTTGCCAAGGTCGGGCTGGAAATCGACGTCGACGCCGCGGTCCCTGAATATCTGGACGGCGGTGGGCGACAGTTTGTCGGAAACGAGAACACGGGGTTTTGTCACGGGTCTTTTCCTGTGTGTTTGGAACGGGATGGCGAGCCTTTGGCAACTGATCCATCCCCTCATGCTGAGGTGTGAGCAGCCATTCCCGCGCCCTTCAAGGTTCGCTACGCTCGCACCTCACGATGAGGGAATGGTTGCGAGCCTCGAAGCACGAGGGGATGGCGCAAGGGGAATCAGGCCGCCTGTTTGAGCGACGCCTTCTGCATGTCGAAAGCCCATTGCAGCCAGGGCATCAGCGCCTTGAGATCGGCGGTCTCGACAGTGCCGCCGGCCCAGATGCGCAGGCCCGGCGGCGCGTCGCGATAGGCGCCGATGTCGAGTGCCGCGCCTTCGGCGTCCAGCGCCGAGACCATCGCCTTGGCGAACGCGGCCTGCCCGGCCTCGTCCATGGCCGTGACAGCCGGGTCGGTGATCTTCAGGCACACGGACGTGTTGGAGCGCGTCTGCGGATCGGCGGCGAGATTCTCCAGCCAGTCGACACTGTCGACAAAGGACTGGATGGCATCGAGATTGGCGTCGGCGCGGGCGATCATCGCGTCCAGCCCGCCGATCGATCTGGCCCATTGAAGCGCATCGATATAGTCCTCGACGCACAGCATGGAGGGCGTGTTGATCGTCTCGCCCCTGAAGATGCCCTCGATCAGCTTGCCGCCCTTGGTCAGGCGGAAGATCTTCGGCAGCGGCCAGGCCGGCGTGTAGGCTTCGAGGCGTTCGACGGCACGCGGCGAAAGGATGATGACGCCATGGCCGCCCTCGCCGCCCAGCACTTTCTGCCAGGAGAAAGTGGTGACATCGAGCTTGGCGAAATCAAGCCGCTGGGCGAAAGCGGCCGACGTGGCGTCGCAGATCGTCAGGCCTTGCCGGTCGGCCGGGATGAAGTCGCCGTCCGGCACGCGCACGCCCGATGTCGTGCCGTTCCAGGTGAAGACGACATCGCGGTCGAAATCGATCTGAG